CCCCCCCCCCCCCCCCCCCTTTTTGTTGGGCAAACAAAGCCAGTCGGGCAATATTCACTTCACAGGCGAGCAATATTGGCTTATTATAAAAATAAATAGGACACATTTTGTCAATTTTGTGGGAAATTCTGTCAATTTTGAGGGAAATATGCGATCTAATAGGATTTTTTTGTAATCACTCCTCCCTCCCCCCCCCTCCCGTCAACAACAATTTTGGAAAGTTTCTCCGGAAAATTTTTTTGACAACGCGGACACAATCCGAAAAAGTCGGGCAAATTTCTTTCCGCCCCCCTAATTTTTCCCTTCCCGTACGCCCATGTCCCTAGATGAACCCCTCCTCTTAAAATTGTAGGACTACACCACAGTATCTTTGTCATTTGTAACCGGCTTTTTGCACACAAGTTCTTGCGAACAATTGCTGGTCATTCACGCTCCCATTCACGTTTCTTTAAAACGTTGTAACCAGGAAGTTAAATCTAGATCGGATTTTTCTCTCTAGTGATGCCCAACTAATCATTTCAAAGGAACAGTTGAATTTTAACAAATAGACTTTCTCTGACAACAAATAATGTATTGTAATTCCAGCTATTCGCTGCCAGGCTGCACTGCAGCAGAAACAATAGGATGACGGGAGTAAAGTATACCGGTGTATATATCTACCGATATATTGATGGAGAAACATATATATCTTTTAGCGGTCTCGAACGAATTTTTCCGAGACTTGAAAGGGCGAGGAGATTTTTGTTTGTGTGAAAACCTAAATAAACTAGATTCCCTCTCTTTTTTCAAGTTTTGCATGTATTTGTTAGCGCAGCATGGCTATTTATTTTCACCGCATACGGTAAATTTCAAATTTCAAAACTTGCCATTTCAGATTTTCAGTTGATTTCTATTCAAATTGGCGATTCTGCACGCCGAAAAGGCATTTTAAACGTAACATTAACTAAATTAAGGATTAACTAAAGCTTCATTGTACATGTGTTATTTTACTCCAAATTATTTCAGAAATGTTCAAATAAGTTAATGGTTTATTTTCGTTTAAAAACTGGTTTTTAAAATACATTTAGAAGGTTGAGATTTTGTTTATTGCATTTTTGCGGCTTTTTATCAACAAATTGGTTGCAGCTTTGCTGTCAGTATTACTCTTGTAGCTTTATGGCATTATTCAATTGCACTGCTAAAGTTTTCGTGCAACTTAAACCGTTTAGGCCTACGTGGATACAAAATCACTTGTGCGATTCTGGGAGATTTCAAGCTTATAATTGATTTGCATACATGCATACATATATACATAAAATATATCACCTATAAATGGGAATATTTGATTTATTAGAAGAGCGGGAAAGGAAAGAAATGCACCGCAGGACACGATCATAAATTGCGCGCATGGCGAACGGGATTAATCGAGGAAACTTGCGCAGATTTCGTTCTCTTCTCAGAAACCTCTTGTCACAGAATAATTTTACCTGCGATCACCAGCTCAAGAAACGTTGTTGCAAGAGTCTATTGCTTTTCATATATCGGACTGCGAGTCATTCGAACACAAAACAATTACATACACCAAAATGGTAAACAAACTAGTCGAAGGGAATTAGCCTATTGCTCAATGACGACGGAAACATTTGGAAATATGTTTGAAAAATATTTTTAATTACTTTCCAGCCTGCCATCATTGGGGGAAAGCCGAAAAGCCCCTGTCTTGAAACTGGAATTTGCCATTCAAAACACCAAGAATTCAAATTTTCACAACTATTAATTATAACAATAAATTGAGATTGTGCCTTTTTTTCTCTAGCTATTAATTGCAAGAAAGGATGTACAGCTACAGGTAATAAGATATACTTCGTACAGAATTACCACACATCCACTTATGCCGTACATGCATTTTAGAAATTTCATTTTTCATTAATAATTGCTATAAAAATTGGAGAAAACTTCAATTATGCCTAACGATTATCTTTGTTCAATCTTGTGAACTTGTGCGCAAAATACGAGCAAATATTTTCAATCTTTATATATATGCAACATATTAGACAATTGTTATCTAAAACAAAATCCTGCAGAGGCAAATATAGTTTACAGAATGGAATTTTGGGCCAAGTGGAGCATGTTGATCAACACAGTGACGTCATGACTGCGTTTGGCAAGGCCGGAGTGCTATAGCGAGTTTGGACAAGTTGAGGAGAACAAATGAAGGAAGAATTTTAATGTTATTTACATTGTGTACTTGCGTGACTGAACGTTTGACAGACAGACATTTGACTGACAGATGTTTGACCGACAGGACCTTTCACCAAAAGACATTTAGCCGACAGGACATTTGGCCAACAAGACATTGGGCCGACAGGACAATTCACCGAGAAGATTTTTTGTTTCAAGTTTATTTTCTGAAATAATGCTCACGAGTAATGATGACTCACATGCACAAATTAATCGGGCCATTAATTAAATCAATGACTCGTGCAAATATTGTTTCACGGTTTTATTGTTTCAAACACTGTGAAAAAAAAAGAATCACTGACTTGTTGTTCAAAAGAATGACTTAAATAGGCATTGTTATTTTGTTATTGCGATTTCCCCATTTATAGGAGACAGGGGACGATTGTTTCAACGCAAAAACGCCAAGCTCCAGACGGATCGGAGGAAACATCCCTGACGAACTGCAAAGAAAAACGCGTGATGAGGAGCTTCTAGCTCTTCATGATAATGAAAATGACTTATATATCTTCACTATGGACAGAAATATAGTGATTATGTACTCTTAATGACACTGGTTCTGTGATGGGACTTTCGACAGTCCCCCAGAAGATTGCTAGATTTACACCATCCATGTCGTAGCAAACGCGGAAATTTGTTCCCAAAAATAAAAGAAAAGCATAAAAAAATAAGATAGGTGTCAGCACTAAGCCAGGCTGTTTCAACGAGTTGGATTAAAAAGAATCATTGACAAGGAAGGTGCACGTGTGTCGCAAAAAAATACAGAATGGGCATGCAAACAAGGCTGACGAGACAGTGAGCATGCAATGTAGTAGCGGAATACTAACTGATAGTGCACAATGTCTGCAGAGTGGAAAGTGGAAACTATTGTACAATTGAACTTTCATACACATGCAGCACAAGGCACTGATTTCAACACACAGAAAACGTTTCGTCCACCCGATTGACAGCAGGATTAGTGTACTGAAGAAGAATAGTTAATCTGGGATTTCTCAATGCAACTACTTCTTAAAAAAGGGACCACAGACATTTTTTTAATCATGTGCTGTCAAAAGAAAAAATACGCTGATTTGATATAGCTTACCAACTTAACACGTCAAGAATTCTGTACAATAGTTTTCGAAAAGGCAAACGAATATGTTTCGTTGAATTCTATATAATATGTTCCCCTGGTGCAGACTTACTTCTTAAATAATATATCTGCGAATATATACACACATTCCCAGAGCTGAATTTTTCCAAATCTAATCAACAGTAGTTTTCAACCTTCCTATAATACTTTTTAAAACCATTTCGATAAAGACACCGAAAATCGATAGACCCTCAAAATATATTGATTGTAACAATTTAATTTAAATTTATATTATTCTGTTTTCTTAGATGTTAAAACAGATGAAACTAATTGTCCCAAAGTATATACTTGTCCAAAAGGTAACGCAAGCCCTGTCAATATAATTAGTACGAGTGCATTTATTACAAGTATATACTGAATGAAACAAATATACAGAACTGTACAATACACCCCTCACTTTATAATTATTTAAATGATAAGCAAATTGTTTCCTTTGTTTTGTTATTTTTAGTACCGACTCGCAATACTGGTAAGCAAATTTGTTGAACATAATATATTCAGACATAAATAATATACACTTAATGGCTGCTCCCGAGGGAAATAGTTAGTTTTGTTTTCCCGAGAGTCTCAATGTTTCCCGAGACGGAGTCGAGGGAAACATTGAGATTCGAGGGAAAACAAACCTAACTATTTCCCGAGGGAACAGACATTAAGTGTTTTGTTATATAGCGACGAACAAAAATCAACTTCAACAACATTCATATACAACAATTGTTTTTCGTGGCAAAAACTCTATAGAGTAAACGAGTTTAAAATTAAAGAACCTACTTAAACGGTTTCGGCAGCATATCCTGTTCCCTGTTCTGTATTTTTCTTCCCTTTTACATTCTTTATTTGAACACAAACTTGGAAAATCGTAGTTTCTAATTATCGTAGTTGTGCCGCCATTTTTATTTATGTACATGGCCGGTCGGGGCGGGCAACAATTTTTCACTTGTTGCCCGGCGGGAAACATTGCATTTATCTGAAGTCACGTGACCACAAATCAGCCAATCACGTTTGGTGTTCACGCTAGCTATATAACAATTATTGTTGTAAGACTATATATGCATGGCAATGATCGTAGTCATTGGATTATTTAATCCATCTTGTTTGTTGGTTCGCGATATTATAGGGATTTTAAGGCCATGAAATGTTTACTCGAAAAGAGCTATCCCGGCCGGTTGGCACAAAAGACAGCAAATTCGGCCACGTACAAATAACTTTCTGTTGTTAGTTTGGAATATCACGAAACTTCCTCACAGGACAGAACTTGCCATTCCTAAAAAATCCTATCGTTTTTATTTTTCGATTTTGTTACATTTTGGGGGGGAAATGACGTGCCATCTTTGGCGCAAAAAAAATTAAACACAAGCTAAGAACATGCTAGGAACTTTTTTGAAGAGATTGTCCTGTAAGGATCTCAGAACTGTAAAAACATTGAAATATGCCTAAGCAGTGCAAAGATATGGTGCTTAAAAGTCTGAAAATCCGCCATTTTGTTACTAAAAATAGATTTTTTCATATCTTCGCACTGCCGTGTTGTATTTTTAATGTTTCTACAGTTCTGAGACCCTTATAGGACAATCTCTTCAAAAAAGTTACTGGCATGTTCTTAGCTCGTGTTTAATTTTTCGCGCAAAAGTTGTCACGTCATTTTCCCGCCAAAATGTAACAAAATCGAAAAACAAAAACTACAGGATTTTCAGGAATGGAAAGTTCTATCCTGTGAGGAAGTTTCGTGATATTCCAAACTAACTACAGAAAGTTATTTGTACGTGGCCGGATTTGCTGTCCAGAAAGCAATTCAGAATTTTCGTATAAAAATAGTAATTAATATAATTTTAGTATGTTCAAGCAGAATTTGAATTACATCCTACTAATTATACAGCTTTTAAAGAAGTGAAATATATCAAAACAGGCTTCTGGAAAGTACGTCACCTTGGCTACATAGCCTTGTTTTCGTTATTGATCGAGACATTGTGCTTTAACTAATGTTACATATGCGAAAACGAGGCTCTATCGCTTAAGTGATGTACTGACCAGAAGTGTAGATGCATGTGTATTGATATCATGATATACAATGTCCCCAACGAAATGTAATTAGTTCTTTCTGTTCGTATGAATAGAAGGAGATAGTGCAGGTTATCAATGCCGAACTTTAAAGTATCCCTCAGGAAAAATAGAATGTGTTTACAAGTCCGTTTCTGCAAACAAGGAAGGTGAGTGAAATGAACATCATGATGCTTATATACAGAAAAAAACACTGCATTTATGTATATGGGAACTAATGGTGACAGAATATCACTTTGAGAGTTGATTCTACTCCTTGAAATTTACAGTGTATACTGTTTGTTCCCTGCATTTGTATACAGGACAATGATATTTGAACTTGACTACTAGTCATTATATTAATTCGTTCTTTTGATTGCCACTGGATGAAAATTCTACTGTTAAGAATTAAGAAACTATTAGTTGTTTTTCCATAAATGTTTTGTTTTTACCTTGACACTTTCGTTCCCTTTCGTTCTTCAAAGTAGCTACAATCGTAGCACGAACTAATGAAAGACCATGCATATGATTAGACCATTTAATCTGTTTTACCTTCCTCGATCCCCCCCCCCCCTCCCCCCTCCAATGTTGGATGGATTAGGAAAAAGACGACGAACATTGCATGAGGTGAGGGAATGTTGTGTGACTTTTTCACATGTGTTGAATTAAATTTTTGCCGGGATTGCAGCAGCATCCTGTTTGCTATAAAGTCGCTTAGGCAACCGAATTAAGAAAAATCATCGACAGTTAAAACTATAATAAAACAATAACAGTGAAAGCAACGCCCAATCATGAACAATCTCGCTTACCAGATTGAACATAAAGCCATGCAGGTGCACACGATGCGATTTTAATCAGCCGCCATTAAAATTAGTAAAAATCCTTGAATGCCTGTATTGTGTGATTTTTAGGCGAATTTTGATTTATGCGAATTATTTCGATCTAAACATCGTGTGTAATCCTACCCGATAAAAATATTCCTGAAAGAAAAATTGTTGTCTTTCAATAGACTACCATTCCTACATCATGTTTCCAAGGATCAACTTCGCTGGAAAGGTGGAATTTTATCCCGCGACAATGAACAACATCTTCAACAACTTTGATATCAACACGTTCGCTCCTGCAGACACAAAAATAAATCACAGGAATTGGAATCCCTCGGGATCAAATAATGTTCGTCTGGTAGATGTCACTGTGACGAGAGTTTGTCATAACGAAGGTTTATGTGTTTACCAATCACATAATGACCCCCTGGCTGGAGCTCCGATAAAAGGTACACTGTTTAAATATGGATTTATGATTTGATATTTTAGGGTGATACATAAAATGCTCTGCCGTCTGTCGATTCCCTCTACCCGCTTTTTCGGGGACGGGTTGCATTGACCGCCTACCTTCCCCTCCAATCAATTGCAAAAATTACGTGACTCTATACCCTACCTCCTTCAAACACACATAGCGACGCTATTTATATTAGTGAGCAACTCGCGCTAATAGGTCCCTTGACCTTAATCTGCTTGAAGCGAGTCCCCAAGTCCAAATAATAATATTTGCCTATAACCTGGTATGGCGGTGCCCTAGTATGTATACATGAACTTGTGGCCAAAGCTCGACAACAGGCCTCTGTAGCTCAGTTGGTTTGAGCGCTGCATCGAAATCAGTTGCAGTGCCGCAGGGTCAATTCCATTTTTCGCAGCTGTTCCTGGTCAGGCCCATAAATGAATTATGTATATAAATTTTCACTTGATAAATTCCATCTACAATACCCTTTAATTTTTATTCAAACGTGTGAAATGCCAACAAAATATTGATATTGGACGACTAAAGGCCACACCACACAACGATAACGATAACTTGTATACGCACGCTGACTGGTCAAAAATTTATCGTAATCGTCCGACTGAAAAAAAATTCTCATATGAGCGATTTTAAAATCTTTATCGTCAAACGATAATTTTATCGTTTTCGTTGTAGTGCGGACATCAACATAATTTTTTCACCAATTATCGCGTGTTTACAAGTTATCGTATTGTTATCGTTGTGTAATGTGACCTGGGATTAACCCTTCTATTTTTCCGGTTTTGTCCCTGTGCGACTTTTGATTTCACATTTGTTCAAAATTAGCAGAGTATCAGGGTCTATATTTCACAAGTAAAGCCTGACGGGAACCTTAAAGATGCTGTAAAGTCCGTTCTGCGCAGGCCTATATTCCAATGGTCGGGACCCAACCATTGCAATGTTATTAATATTTCGCACCTTCCGAATTTTCTTGAATTGAATGTCTAGTCTGTATTCATTTACAAGTATAGCGAACAAGAACAGTGTTAAAAATTCAGTATAATATATATCTAATTTTAGGCTACAACTGTAGCACCGAGTTCAAAATGTAAACAAAGCGTTTGCTTATACATTACGGACTTTACATCACCTTTAATCCGGGCGCTATCCACGCACATTTTACCCTGAATTGATAATTTTACATGTGAAATTGATTTTCACATATGATCCTTTAATTTCACATATGAAACAATATGATGTGAAACTGAAATTGGTAATTTCGTGAAAGTCTTAAATTGTACGCACGAATGGTCATATAATATTCACACGTGAAATATCCCAATTCTACATAACATTTTCCGTAAGAGTATATGCTTCCAATCTCTTGTAACATTCGCCATGTACGTGTCTTAAAAACGAATTTTAGAATCCCACTTATACATGCGACATGGTTAATGAACCCTACTTATGATTTGTTAATTAAAGAGTTTTCTTATTTTTTCCTCCATATATAGACCGAGCAAACGGTAAAGTTGCAGCAAAGCTTGTAGATCTCGATGTAGAAGTACAAGGAACAATTTCTGAAATATATGGGCTATCCATAGATGTGGGAGGATTCTTCAAGGGGGATATGGAACGTGCTTCATTCCAGTCAGTGTGGTACAAATTGATAGATGGGCCGAAAAATCACCATAGCAGAGGCTCAAGGTTTCAGAGTGTTCTCCAAAATGTCCAATTTTCTGCAAAATATAGTGACTCGAAAATTGTTAAGCATTTAAAGGAAAACTTGGGACCGAATCGACAATTGTCTATATGTTTCAATATTGATTTGATGGGTGAGCGTCCTGCATTTAACTTTAGTTTTGCTAGGATCGTAGGTTCAATTGGTTTAGCTGGAGAGAAGGCACCGCATTTCTTTGACTATGGACGTTTGTTACGTCGCTTACCAGCAACAAGGGAACTTAGCTACGCGCCATTCACCGTAGATGAAACTAGAAAGAAGATTTATATTGACTTAGGAAACTCTCTCGGTATTGGCAAAAATGGAGACATCTTAATTTCAGTTGGACAATTGGCTCTTGGCGTTTATGCTGGCAAGGCAGTAACGGGCGTAGATACTCCCAATTGTTTGGATAAGATTACATGGATTTCAAGAATTTACTACAACGAATATGGTGGATACACGTTCACTGCCGGCATAAGCGTAATCGATATTCCAAGCTACCTGGAACGTAAGCTAAATAAACAATTCGTTTTAGCAGAGGTAAGTAGCTACGTTGCGAAATAAAAACCAAAAAGATCTATATCGAAATAAATGGTTATTATTTCAATCCTACAATTAGTATTTTAGATTCATCTTCATGCCGAACTGACCTAGAAATATCTAATAAGTATTAGCGCTCTCTCGGTGTATACAAGAAATGCTGAAGTTGGTATATACGAATTACATTAATTACATAATGGACAAATAGATAAGATATTGCCGTTGTCTGCTCAGTTATAGATAAACAGTATGACGTCATGTGGGAAGAACAAAAAAGTCTCGAAACGTGATGAAACCGCATATGCAGCTAGTGTATATTATACTAACTTTATATACTTAAAATGCGCGACCTTCCGGCGACGATAATGTATACCGGAGTTTCGGTCGAAGATTCCTGTAATACGCGGGTTCGTTGGGCTACTTGCATGATGATCCTTAACTCCCTCTTTATAGACAACGTTTTCTACAAAGCACATTCTTGCCTTTTCTGCAGTCGCAGTTGCAATTGTCGTTATCTAAAGAATTGGTATTGAGAACTCTTTGGTCTTTTTGTCATTAAAAACGTAAATAAGTAATTGTAATTATAGCTCAAATGGGGCAATTCGGAGTGATACCCAAAAATCCTTTCATGCTTAGTTTTTAACAACTGTTTCCAACAAGGGTAGTAGTTTAAATGTTATTCTTTATTTTTCAGATTGATGAAGGCGGAGACTGCCTGAATATTCTCCTTGCAGAAAATAAAGAGGGAATAAATGTTCGTTCAAATAGTCATTTTATATACCGAGCGCAATATGGAGACGTCACACATGGCAACTTATTTGTTACTATATTTGGAAAAGCACCAACTGCTGATCAAAATATTAATTTGAAGTTGGAGACAGCTGATTCAATTATCACCGATCATCCACTGGGTCCCGCCCAGCCGTTTGGATTATTCAAAGATACGGTTGACCCCACCATCTACAACTATTACTTTTACGCCATGAATGATCCCAATAACATTCGAGAGATAATTGATGGTCAAATATATGCATTGCAATACACGTTTAATGGTTATCCCTTAAACCCAAATCAAAACGAAGCAATGAACACTGCGATTTTTATCTATGTCTACGATCAAGTAACTGCAAATGACCAACCAACATGGGTTACAGACATACTTCCAATTTTCCAACTTTATGCTAACCTCTTCCCTGTAATGCGAAGTTTTGTCAATCTTGGGGATTACAACAGTGTGGTCGAGAAGAAATGTCATATACTTACAGCAATGTCGTTGGAGTTTAGGGATCCTCAGTTCATGCCAGTGACACGAGATCTTTCGCCGAAGAAAACAGAAATGATTTTAAGATGGCTGGATGATGATAAACCTGATTTCGGTCTCACACACCAAGCACAAGTAACCAAACAACATTTACTGAATATGCTTCAAACTGCACTAGAGCTGGAACATGCCACAATACCAATTTACATGAATGGATTTTTATCAATAAAACCATGGCAAAATGACGAGGTTAAGAAAATGTTACATCAGATTATTGTGGACGAAATGTTTCATTTTGCTCAAGTTGCTAATATCATAAACGGCCTTGGAGGGCGGCCTTATCTTTTAGGGAATACATTTGTTCCTGCTTTTCCAAGTCATCTACCAGGAGGATGTCGCCCTAACATGATAGCAAGTATTAATAAAATGTCTACGCAGCAAGTTCGTGATGTGTACATGGAAATTGAAGAACCTTCGTATGTCCTGAAAGATCATGAGTTGGTTGCACTAATCAACAAAATTTCTACAGGTAAAAATAACTGCAAAAGCAGTAGAACGATAAACCTTTATTTCACGTATTATATCTATGTGCCTACCACACCTTGTTAGCGCTTCGTAGGCCCTACATATTTAACAGGCCCTATATTTAACTTTGTAAATGTGCAATGCTAGCATTGCACATTTACAAAGTTAAATAAATCCTCTGTTTACTCGCTCATATGCGCAGTTGGTAAACATCTGCATAAGAAAAATAGAATGTAGTAGAAAAGTCTAATATGGACATATTCATTCGGCCTTCTCAGTACTTATACCTGCAATCTTAGATTTTGATGATCAGACACTTTTAACTTTTATCCTTTAATAGACAATCTGAAATCAACAAACGAAGGCGACGAAGGTAAGAATCGTTTATAACTTCCTGGGATGTCGCGCACGCCCGTTTATATTTAGTTATAGTTAGGCTATATTATTTCAAATCCGCCTCTGAGGACTGAACTAGATTTCAAGTCCGCGAAATTGGATAATTAATGAGTTTGAAATCAGAATGTAACAGAATCGTGTTGCAAAAAGGCTATCACGCATTTTTGATTTTGCTCTTGACCTATTTAACGGATATAGGAACGGTTCTGGGAAAGGCGTTTAAGTCTCTATCTACCATTAACTCACTATAGTATTTATTTCCTAAATTTAAACGTTCGAAAGATCGTGGTTTATGAAACCAATCTACCGTTGTTCTCTGGTTAAGTTGCGGCTATTCAGTGAGTGCTATGCGCTGATAACTCGAAGTAAAATATTATAAATTTTCTTCAAAGAGGGTTAAATTTTCAAATTGATTTCTTTTTGTTCTAAAATTCAGGACACTCACTAGCATGGCCATGACTTTATTGTTTTCTTATTGCAAGATATATGTAATGTATAGTCCTGGGGCCGGTTGCATAAAAAACGTCTTTAACTTTAACTATGATTAGCGTTAAAGGTGACATGACACGAAATTTTTTATTGCCCCATCTGAAAGAATCGTCAAAACTGGAAAGCAACTTCTTCTGTACATTTTTGTTTATGTGCTTCCTTGGTTAGATAATTCAGTTTTCGTGATATGCAGTGCAAACAAATTTACGTCACACTTTGCATAATGAGTTATCGTTATACGCCAGGTTATCACTTTTTTAAGTTGTTTGAAAATTCACATGCGTTATGCTGAGAATAATGTAAAGCATACGTATATGCAGTTTTCCAAATGACGATGTTGGATAAAAATACATAAATTATCAAATATTTCAGGTAGCTCATTATGCAAACTGTAACGTAAATTTGTTTGCAATCGGCATGTGAACAAACCTGAATTATCTCACCAAGGAAGAATGTAAACGAAAATCTGTAAAAGAAGTTACTTTACAGTATTGTCTATTCTTTCAGATGGCACAATAAAAAAAATTCGTGTCATGTCACCTTTAATCACTGTATGATTATAGTTAACTACATTGTGCAAATATAGGCGGGAATTTTATTCAAAATAGTGAAAAATAAGCAAGAAAACAAGGAATAAATCAACAAAGAATGCCGTTTTACCTGAAACGTCTACGTTAAACCAAAGTGTAACTGCATGTTTGGCAATTATACACCATGTTTCTTCGTGTAATGGGCCCTACGTCGTATTCGAGAAATCTTCCCGTGCAAAAATATATTTTGTTTTCGCCAAGAAAAGCAAAGCAAGGTATCACAGGTTGTGTATTGACATTTGGTTCTCGGTTTTGTTCTGTTTTTGACTAGGTGGAGATCCAGGAAAATGTGCCAAAGCACTTTCTTTGTTTCCTCTTCCTAACAAAAAAATAGCCAGGAAAAACCATAAAACAATCGGCGATTTATACATGTCCGTGGTGTACATCCTTGGGCAATTAAGCATTTGTGGAAAGAAAGACATCTTCACTGGAAAAACAAAACAATTGAAATGGTCAGACCCGGAACTTCTCAGAGAGGTTAAAGATTACGATAGTGCTTTAAAAGCGATGAAGGCAATTGTAGATCAAGGCGAAGGGGCGTCGGCGTATAATCCATTGCAACAGAATGTGGATTCTTCCGAGTTGGCTCATTATTTCAAGTTTTCATCGATATTTCATGGTAGACAAATTACGACCTTTAATGTAACCAACGAGAAAGTCTACAATAACAACGAACAGGTAAATCAACGATATTGTACAATTGCATTGTATATTTTACACCATACGGTACAGTTCCGCTCATTACAAAGTATTGGCAGGCAGTACATCTCAAGCAGAATACTTACTAATTCCATTCCACAAAATCTATTTACTTATTAATTACCATCTTATGCCATATTATAGTTCTGCGTTGTTGCAATGCCCAACATACCAGTAATACAATCACCAATTTCCAGAAACTTTGCATTTAAGTACCGTTATACGGTAACGGGGATTTCTAGCTTAGATGCGCCTTCACTGATTGAGTCACGACACTGGATGAATGGGTAACAGCTCTTACTACGATAATCCGTCCACACAACATTGGTGGCGGCGACCATATTCAAAAACGCAAATCAATATATAAATTTTAATCAGTTAGCATGTCGCCTCTCTAGATCAGCTTCATTATAAATCCTTGGTTATAAAAACAATTCGAAATGTTTTATTCAAATTAAAAATGCTGTGCTGAGTGGTTATATTACTACCTTAAAAAAAAGAAGAAACTCGACGTTTCGACTAACTCTTGACGAAGGGCCTTCGCTCGAAACGTCGAGTTTCTGCTCATTTTTTAAGCTAGTTATATAACCACTCAGCACAGCATTTTCACATTGATACTGCCTTCACTGGTACAGGCAGTTTTAGTATTTATTCAAATTACTCATGATCAGAATTAATTTCCCAAAGAGCCCAAATATCTTAATAGTTCAAGACGATAACCTAATGTGGTGCCGTGATTCTTTATAAGTTTGTTACAATTGTTACAAGTTAGAAATTGTTACAATTGTTACAAGTTACGCTGCCTGGCAGTCAAGCTGACGTCATGTTGTAGACATAGTACGACGATTATTTTATGATTTTAAATCATGGCAAAATCTCTTCCCATTTCTTCAAAGCAAAATTAAAAACATCGTTTTATTAAATAAATTCTATGATATTACTCTCCTATTTGTACGTTTTTAAGATCTTGCTACATTGTAATTTCATATCCTGGTATTCTGGTAGTTCGCTCTACTTTTGAGATTAGTGAGGTATTACACAGCATACGACCCAATAAATATGGCGTTTCTATCGGCTTTTAAGTCAGCCTCGCAGCGCCGGATTATAGCGATGGGGGTTAGAGGAAAAAGGTATATTTAAGTTGTTGTTCGGGGAAATAAAAAATTGTCCTATTAACGGTATGGTCGCGCGCGTATTAACGAGGTGGTAGAATGGCGGGATTCCACTCTAGGTATATTACCGCCCTCTGGTAAAAAATTCTGCGTACGGCTCTCCAGCTTAGTAATGACATACATTGTTAGATATATTATAAAGAATAATAACTTTAATAAATTTTTCACCAGGAATCACATGAGAACTATGTCTACGCAGGTGACAAAATTTCTTTCTTCGAAACTGGAGTCTGGCCTGTGGTTAATGACCCACAAATGTCAAAGTACAAGCCTGATAGTCAGGCTTATAAGAATGCACAAGCTTTCAATGATGTGTACAGGAAGTTATTGGAGACCTTGCAAAGTGTATTCGATGGCAATGTTGACAGGTAAAAAAAGAAATTAATAGCAAGAAAGTAAGTAAGTAAATAAATAAAGATCTTCTATACCTCGCAATTTTCTGAGGAACTTCTAAATTTTTTTACAAAAGATTAAATTACTGAATATTAAATGGATGGCATATATTACAATAAATTTAAAAAATCTTCTCTACCTCCATTTTCTAAAGAACTTCTATATTTTTTTACAAAAGATTAAATAACTAAATAAATTAAAGGTAAATGGATGGCATATACATTACAAAACTTAAAACATGAAATATTACATGATTTTAATTTAATCAGTAAATAAATCCATATCCTCCGATATATTAGCTATAAATCCATGTCCGAAATTAAAGGTAATTAGTAAATGAGTCATTGAGTATGTGAAAAAAGTATAAATAAGTACAGTAAGTACTGCAAGTACTAAGTAAGTCGGCTAAGTAAGTAATTTTAAAGAGGGTTGCATGTCACAGTACTTCAAAAGACTGATAGCTTGCCCATTTTAAGAAATTTAAATTACGCTAAAATATTTTATAAAAAGTTCATTTCAATTAATTGATGGTAATTCTATAGAATATATAGTTTTATTGAACTTTATGCTAAAATGCTTAAAGGAATCTTTGGAATCTTTGGTATTTTGTAATACTAAAATGACTACTCACTTTCTGTCTATCAGGATAATGATAATAAACCAGTTCTGGTTTTTAGTGTGAAGATTCACTTCACACTATTGTGATGGCTGGCAAATTCACACGAATTAGTCAGTCAGTCATAGAGTAAACTTTCCGGGGGGTGTATACGATTTATGTTCGTAGTGATTTATTGTACTTATAATTAGTCAGTACTTTGAAGGTTATTTAGGCAATTTCAGTTAACTTATTCACATATTCTGTTATCCTTCTGCCAAGTTCACAAAAATTTCGAGGAGTCGCTTTCGTTATTGTAATTTTTTATAAATTTTAGAACATTCGCTTCTCCGTGTTGTGTAAAGGATCTTTACCCCGGAACACCCGATTTTTTCTTTAGTAGCGCAAATGCGCATGCGCTATCAAACATAGATCACGATGGCGTGACGATATGCTTGGAAGGAGTGACAGTGTTGTTTTCAGATGTATAAACATTTCAGACGTGAATATTGAGTAAATCTTTGAAAATCTACGCAAAATACAAATTGATCTTATGCATTGCGGGCGTTCAATTAAGTGCCGATAATATTTAGACGGTATATTCATTATACAGAGCTAGGAAGGAGCTAGACCGCCTAGACACAGGGAGCAGAGGAGTCGAGTTTATCTAGTAAAACAATACAAACGCCGTCTTACCTTGTTAATTGTAATATCTTTCATTGTAGAATCCCCATGTGTGCATTAAAAATGCATATTTTACAATTTATAGTCTGTTGAAATTGTCGTGAAACCATATAAAGTTTATAAACATTGTATGCCTTGTATGATTTTTTATTCGTACTTCATGTAACATGAACACCAAATGAATATACTCCGCTGTTCTAGATTATTGTGGGCTCACATTTCGCTATACTTAGTAAACAATAAGAAACGAAGAAAGGGAGGAAACAGTCATTGGGGTGATATTTTAGGATGGCTACTAGAAAATACATGCATGCAGAAACCCTCGCCTTCCTGACAAAACCATTGTATTTTCCGAACGTGAAGTTCTAAAGTAGTTGTCATGGTAACACGATAATTCTTTAAGAATATTCTTACAAATGAAAAATCGCCTAAAAATATCCCTTTTAATTACAAAATTATTAATTTCCCAACATATATATGCTAGGTATGTTATTATACGTAATATAAGCCTCAATATAAGGTAAAATTCAACCACAAACGCTTCGCAAAACGTTTTAAAGTGCTGTTTAACTAAACTGCCTTTAATTAAATGGCTTTATCGATAAACTTTGAGTTGCAATAAAATGATTTCAAATTCTCGCTTGCAAATAACTTTGCTTTCTTTTTTATTTAAAAAATTCAATATAATAAAAAAGTGAATCAATATTAAAGATACACTGAGCGAAATTATATTCTGTCTTGTTTAGTTGTTTCATATACGCAAAGGCCGTCGCTCGGGCCGTCGGGTTTTAAAGCAATTATAAAATCAATATTTAAAACAAACTTACCTTCGTTAACGTCGGCTCCCTTCTTTTAGCCGATTCCTTCGAAGTTTCTTTCCGAGAGAGCTTTTGAAATTTACAAAATATTGCATGAAAAATGCGAGTAAAAATGAAATATATTCGCAAGAAATTTATCAATCATGAATCATCAAATCTAGAAATGTTTGCTATTTCGCTGTTGTCATGCAGTCGTTATAATGCAAACTTTAAATTGGACCAATCAGTGTCCGCTATTCATGACAGTCCGCCATATTTTTGAGGTCAGTGAGGATGACCACCCACCCAACACCGTTGGTGACCCACGCCCGCGATATTTGATGAACTTTAGACTCCGCTAATGCTTTCGTTTCCCCGGGTGTAAATAGCTGGGGGGAATTAGTACCCTCGCACGGCGCTTCGCGCCGTCGGCTCGGGGATAACTTGCTTAGTATTTCATAAAAAAACATAATTTTTTGTATGCAAGCTAGAAATTATCTATTCTTACTACACTAGGAAATAAATTTCAATAAACGGTCGTTTAACCTACATATTTGACGACTCATATTCATCGATTATTTTCGTACGATGTGCACCGCAACACCCTATGACGGAAGTGATGTATTGTTTCGTGTTTATGCATGATTGTTCAAATTTTTCGAATACTAATTATAACTGTCAAATGAAGTTCTGCTTCGTCATTGGTCAATGGCCTGTTTTATTCACTTCCGTCATAGGGTGTTGCGGTGCACATGCGACGAAAGATCTGCAATGTTTCCTCCCTTTCTTAGTTTCTTACTCGTTGATATCTCGGACAGTGTTCGTTAGCTTTTCGGGAAATACAAGTCTACGGTAATTCAAGGCAGTGGAGTATATTAATTATTGAAATTCATATTTACTCGCTGGGGCACTGTGCCCCAGACGAGTATAGGTTTCGGCTTGCATTTGTCACGGATCACGGATAGTGGATCTCCAATCGTCGATAGCCACAAAATAGAATATTAATGAGCTACCTAATTTTCACCCAAATTATCCATAAGGCTCCTGACAATTTTACCCAAATTACCATAAATAACCCTGCATGTTGAGGAAAATTCGGGGAAATTGAATAATTTTACAAGGAATTTCGACATGGAAACAGCAGCAAGTAAGAATGTTTCTGAAACAATTTCGTGGAGTGGGCAAATGTTTCAAACAATTTCGTTAAAATTTTCAACGAATTGTACCTGTTTTCTATGGATTTTGCATTCTGTCTAACTCTGGACATTCTTGCTAGTTTAGTTAATGCATTTTTCTTGGTACACGACTTTGAAAATCCGAAATTTGGATCGTTAAATTCCCGTGCACGATCATGATCTCGATCATGATATACTGAATCTGAATCTAAACGAGCCAAATACAAACTATTTCAAGGTAAAAGGTTATAACTTAAACTACACAACGTAGTTTTATAGTAGATAAATACTTTATGAGAAGCATATTGGTGTCATATCAATATAAAAGTTATCCAACAACAGTCCTTTATAGTTAGTAGCTGTGGAAAGGCGAAAGCTGTAGAGTGTAGTATGAAACATGATATTGTATTTGTATAAATGCCTAATGGCGAATACATAAAGGATAAAAATACCACCGTTCGATTCAGCGTAAGAAATTGTACTTACGGATGTCAAATGTATTTATACTACAGTATATAAACAACAGTATTCTAGCGATTTACGGCCTTTGTCTTTGAAAGCCAAGCGAAATTGTATTGTTGACAAATCGCTCAAAATTATTAAACTAATTAAAAATGCAGTGCGTTTGATCCTTGATAACTTTGGTATCGTTGGTTTTCTCTTTTTCGGCCATATACCAGTGGATTCGTCTCACTTCTCTCTTCATCTTGATAGTATTTTGAGCCCAAAAGCCCACAAATATTTTCCTTTGAACGTTTTAAAGCGCAGTTTAATCCTTGCGTACGGACCAACTGGCGGCCGACAGAAAAATATATATAGATTATAGCGTACTAAATATAACTTTACTTGCAGACGGAACGCCGGAAGTTTTATTTGAATTGTAGAGCACCGCATTTTAGTACTGTGTTAAACAGCCTTTTGCGTTCGTATTCGACTTTTCCGCTTAGTTCGGGAACAACCTTAAATCTTAATTGAAATAGCTGTATACTTATGTTTCATATACAGTACATTAATGTGCGTATTTGTATAGCCCCAGCGAGTTAACGCTTTACAGAGCGTCTTGTTTCAGGTTTTATATTCGATAACTTTGATGAATAAATATGTATTTTTAATGCACACATTGGGATTCTACAATGAAATATACTAGAATTAACAAGGTAAGATGGTGTTTGTCTTGTTTTACTAGATAAACTCGACTCCTCTGCTCCCTGTGCCTAGACAGTGCAGTCAAGTGTATAAACATTTCATCCGTAAATATTGAGTCGAAAATCTTTGACATTCTAGGCATTCAATTGAGTGCCGATATTATTTTCACGGCATACTCATTATACAGAGGTACAGTACGTGGGCAGAAGCAAGACAGTGTTGTTTTCAAGCATATAAACATTTCAGACATAAATATTGAGAAAATTATTGAGATTCTGCGCAATAATACAATATGTAAATTTATGTTATGCATTACTGGCATTCAGGTAAGTGCCCATCGATATTATTTAGACCGTGTATTCATTATACATTGTCATTGACTGTATAAGGTGCTACATCCAGTGCTCTCACTTTTAAGGAATTATCCTTAAAAATAGGAATTTTGAAGAGTTTTAAGGATTTTTTTAAGGAATTTAGGTTTTTGAGGATTTTTTTAAGGAATTTTCGAAACATTTTATCCTGGACTAAAACCGTTGGACGGAGGATAACCACGCAACGCAAATGAGATTTAAACTTGAAAGTAGCAACATTATACGCACATAATTCTGCCGTTTTCCAGTACCAAATAACACAAATCACACTCATATAACGTAATTGTCATCATAATATAATAGTATATGTTTCTGTACATGGCTTGGCATGTATTTATAACAAAACTTAAAACAATGTTTTGAAACCCTAGTTTTTTACAAAATGTGTTCTCAGAACGCTGCAAATGCCATTTCCGGGATTCAAATTTTAAAAATTTTCCGTGCCTTCGGCACGAGACCCCTCCCCACTCAATGTTTCGTAAAGTGTCCGCCACTGGTCTTTTCGTTGAAATTCTCAAATGTTAAATGTCAGTATATGCTGTTTTTTCTGAAATCTACAGATTTTTTAAGCTCTTCATGCAGCAACGATCAAAAATACATCATGTTGAATGTTTTCTTTATGGCATTACGCTAACAATAAAATGTTTTCAATTTTTAGTGCTTAGAAACAAGGTTATAAAAACTGAAAAACAGAAAAAAGGAGGAAAAAAACACTTTTTGCAACTGTGTGATCAGGCCTTCTGGTAATTTTACCAATTTAAGGAATTTTAAGGAAATCTGAGGAATTTTCGAGCTTTTTCTAAGGAATTCGAAAATTTGATTGTGAGAGCACTGGCTACATCACAGAATAGATGGCTATACTCAGTACAAAGAGCGAAAAATTGCATCAGATCTGTATCAGATCAATAAAGCGTAAACAACTTTGCGACTTGCGAGACTATTAAAGAAATCAGTTGAGTCAGAGCTCCTTAATTAAATAAGAAAGACGAGGAGATAGCGAATGTGTTATCGCCAACGTGTTATCGCCAATAGTTTGGCTCGCCAACAAGCTTTATGCAATACACGTTGGCTACATGTACCGTCACGGACCTTGTCTTTGACCTTTGTTTACTGTCTAGCACAACGCCGTTGTCAACGGTGCAAATTCGTGTACAGTTCAACGATAACTCTACCAGATCGTACGAGAATCAATCTGTAGTATTCTCTACACAGAACTGTATCAAAGCTTGTCAAAACTGCTTTAAACACTGCTTAACTGTGAAACTATTGAAATTTAAAGTGACATTATTCAATACATGCGAAAAGCTGAAAATAGACGTGACACTGGGAAAAGTCAAAGGTCAATGAGACTTGTTAGGCATAGTACAAAACATGGACTGGACTGGACTGGACAGTTGGACTGGACTGGACAGTTGGACTGGACTGGACTGATTTTTACATTTTCTCTATTCTTGACTTGCACGTCACCCGCCATGTCAGGTGGCATGGCACAAAAGAATATTTTATCACAGAATAGATATACTGTGTCAAGTATTTTGTGATTTTATCAATGAACATTGTCTGGTGTGTACCAGGAGGAGATTGGTTGCAAGTCAAGAATATAACGTTTTGCACCTGAATTACTTTTGATTTTCGGAAATTGAAATACTTTACCTTCGCCGATGACCTCACTTTATAACTGGAGTGAAATCTCTTAAAGTGAAAGAAACCCTAGTAAGTAGAATAGAATACAATACCAAACATAAACTACTTATCTGTCTTTGCTATGGGTAGGCTGCTCGCATACGCATTAAATTTCGATATTTCAGTCTGCATGGCCATGGGCATAGAAAGGTAGATAATTGGCGGCGGGGGGGCGGCAGGAGCTCATATTCAAATATTTGTGTTCTGCATCATTTACTTCTTTTGAATTTGATTGTTTTTACGGTCTGCGAACATGAATATATGAATATGAGCCCCCCCCCCCCCAAGATCTTCCTACGACCATGGCAATACGTATCCGAGCAGGCTACAAAGTAGTTTATGTTTGGTATTGTATTCTATTCTTCTTAGGGGCCGGCCGACCATTTAGCTTTTGAGGGGGATGGGGGAGGGGATGATTTCCTGCAAGGCTATTCTGAACAAAAGAAAATGCCTGCACTAACAAACTGGGGGGGAAAATATCCTGCCCCAGTATTTGGTGGAGGGAAAAATGTTTTCAAAACAACATGGTTGCAGGGATCGATTTGACCAGTCCCAGAAAATCAGCTGGTTTGATTTTCGGAGACTAGTGTAAGGTTAATTACTTGTTGGAAAACTCCTGAAAATGCTGGAAATAGCTTATCTGAGCTTCACAAAATCCACAATTTTCTGGGGGGGGGGGGGCATGCCCCCAGACCCCTCTAGAGGCTTGCACTTTCGGTGGTCAACTCGGTTGTCTCAGAATCCTAGTTAATATTGGTCTGATCTGCTGACCTATGGCATATACTTATTAGTTAAACCATGCATATATATATATATATATGCTGGTAGCTGTAGTGATACAGACTTGCCGACTGGAACTTCTCCAGGTCCCCCGCTAAATATGTCCCCTCCAGTTACACATCCGTAAAGAGGCCCTGAACCAAATATTATACCTCATAGCAATATGTATTATTAAAAGCAATGCATGAAACTAGAAAACGCAACGTTAACTATTATTAATTAAAGAATCTAAATAGTATAAGCTATTGAAAAAAAATGCTCCGAAAGAGAGAGTGGCAAAAAATATTGTACATGGTGATGGGATAGGGGAAAAAAATCTTGCACATAACGATCCCATATCAAGAAAAAAATTCCCTTCCAGCAGTAAATCTCCAACCCCCTCCCCTCCGCCCCTCAAAAGTTAAATGGTCGGCCCCTTACTGGGGTTTCTTGAGATTTCACTCCAGTTATAAAGTGAGGTCATCGGCGAAGGTAAAGTATTTCAATTTCCGAAAATCAAAAGTAATTCAGGTGCAAAACGTTATAGTCTTGACTTAAAACCAATCTCCTCCTGGTACACACCAGACAATGTTCATTGATAAAATCACAAAATAGACATGACATGGTATATTTATTCTGTGATAAAATATTCTTTTGTGCCATGCCACCTGACATGGCGGGTGACAAGCAAGTCAAGAATAGAGAAAATATAAAAATCAGCCCAGTCCAACTGTCCAGTCCAACTGTCCAGTCCAGTCCAACTGTCCAGTCCAGTCCAACTGTCCAGTCCAACTGTCCAGTCCAGTCCAGTCCAACTGTCCAATCCAACTGTCCAGTCCAGTCCAGTCCAGTCCATGTTTTGTACTATGCCTAATATTATGCACTTACTAGCTAGTAGACACTATATGAGTCAATCGATGAATGTTAAAAAGGGAATTTAATATAATTTGTGATTAGTCAGTTCCTTTTACGATGAAGAACATTCCGTTTCTTTTTAATTTATAAATACAAACACTGAGCCGCTTTTATAAACGCTACATATATACACATGCATTAAAGTCAATATATAAATTGATTGATCTTGCCGACAGGCAAAATTTGTAAATTTCTTACAACTTTGGGGATGCGTTGCATCACGCAAAATAATTTCCCAAAGAAAATTTTAAACGATTCACAAAATACACCATTTAAAGGCGATTATGGGTTGTTTTATAGTAAAAAAAATTTCATCGCAGATGGAAAAAAATTAGTTTACTTTGAACATATTTTGAGAGAGGCTTCCTATGTATTCCCAAAATAACTTCAATAAAAACCAAAAACCTGAACGATAATGTCTGAAACTCTACCTGTTGTATATTAAGATAGCAATTAACTTCGTGTGAGAATACTACAGCGCTGGGTTATTTTGTTTTGTCCCGAGAAGCTGTTGAAGTTAACCTAAATTACCGGCTCAAAATTAGCTAATTTAATTCAAAAAGTATTTTCTGCGATTTTCCCGAATACAAAGCCGAATTTCACCAAACAAACTACACAGTGGTGTTTGTTACATTAGGGCCTATATATATAGTTAAAATATGAGAGGAATCGATTTATCAACCCTTGCCGCCCAATGTTCGATTTTTGCTGACAATCACTCTTAACTCTTAGGCAGGCGCTAAACGACGCGTTTGTGTCGAATTTAATTTAGACGAATTTAATTGCAATTAACTTCGTCTGAAATTCGACACAAATTCGTCGCCGAGTTATACGTCGAATTTATGTCGCAAAAAAATACTGCTCGCGCTGCCGAGAGCCTGGAAACTATAAACATGGCGCCGATCAATCGTTCTGCTGCCCTTATCATATAGTGTTACAAAAGAATGCTTATGAAACGAAAAAGAAGGCATTTAAGGTGGAATTTAGTGCTTCTGTACCCAGGGCCGTAGCTAGCATGTATAGTTTGGGGGGTGTAGGCCAAAAATTTCCGAATGACGAAAAATATTTACGAACATTTCATGGCATACGAAGCCACGAATGCGTTTGCTATCCGGAAAATAAAGATGCAATTTACAAACAAAAATACACATAGTTTACGCAAAGACATATTACAGAAGCATGCAGTGCCGTAGGAAGCTCTTTTTTATTGGGGCCTGGGAACGAGGGCCGAAGGCCCGTGGAAATTTCTAAATTTAGATTCTCTGAAATGCCATTTCCTGGACTTTGGGGGAAGTTTTGACAGAATTCCGATGGTCAGAAAACAGAGTTTTAGTATGATATTTGTGATGTTACTCTGAGTATGCATCCACAGCGGGCAAGCTGAAAAGTTTTCTTGGCCACGGTGGGAGTCGAACCCGCGACCTTTGGGATACTAGTCCAATGCTTTGCCAACTGAGCTACGTGGTCAAGTCGACGTCGGTAGAACTAAATGGGCGAAGGCGTATTTAATTAACTATATATTGCAGGAAAGAGTATGGGTAATATGATTCTTTGCGGTTTGTCTTGGATAATGTACAATCACTTTCAGAAGTTGTTGGGACACATGTAGTTTTAGCTTGTAAGTGGATCATTATGGTTTTTTACACACAATACCGCTCCCCTCCCCTTCCCCCACCCCAATCAATGTTGTTTAAACCAAAACACATCAAACCCGACGAGAAATGGGACACAACATTCAACAGGGGGCCGGGGAGATTGTCGTTTGTTGAAATTCAAAGGTTTTTTGGCATCTGTCCCAAGACTTTTGAAACTGATTGTCTGAAAGGCAATGAAGAGCATATTTAACGAATTAACGTCCTTGAATTACCGAGTGTTTTAGAATATCAGTTCTACGAAAATCGTATAGCATTTAGCATAACATATTTACTGAATTGCACTGGCATATATAATGCTTTTATAGTGTGCTTGTTGTGGTCAATATATTTGAAATGTAACATAATCCAACAGACTGAACAGTATATTATATATATAAATGAGCTTATAAACAGATGTGATATATGTGGGGAGGGACGTATGCTGAGAGATTAAACCTGCTCTATATGCAAGGGATAAAACACATCTATCTGGTTAATTATCGACCTAGGTTATCGCTGAATAAAATGCAAGGGTAAGTTATCGAAAACTACTTAAAGATTGTGCATATTTGACATGAAAATATGTATGTAATATAAAACGGTTTGAACACGTGCTCGATTGTCACTCGGTTGTCACTTTGACACACATAGCATTTTCATTGATATAACTTTCAATTGTCGCGGGATAATAATTTTCAGAATATTAAGTACTAAGCAAAAGTGTTTAGGTAGCGCGTATTGATATATTACGGGTTCTACTTAATCACAAAGTATATAAATTGTATAAAATGTATCGATTGACACTCAACTCTAGAAATGTCACCATGATATATCAGATTTATTTATGTAGAAAAGTGTCAATCGATCCAAAACTTGGCTTAATCAATTTCAAACCCTTTCATTAATAGCAAATACATCGTTAGACATTCTCAACAAATTATTCTTAGCCTTGTTCTGATTTAAAAGCTGCCGAGTTGCCCATTATTTCATATTTCTATAGTGACAATCGAAGTGACAACCGATGTTAGTTTCATAGCTTTCGGCTGAACCGGAAACGCTTATTAGCATAATTAGCGTATAACACTAACTTTGTGTTGTATAATGCGTACAAAGCCGTATACAGCGAGTGCCGTTCGTTAAGAAAAGGGCATAAATATTTGCTATCTGTCTTTACTACTTCTAACAAGGAGCCGTGGCCGAACTGGCTTTAAAACCTCAGTCGAGGTTGTCGTCGTCTGACAAGAAACCCTGGACGGTGGGAAAATGTCTGGCAAAACCACTCCGGTAGTAGGTTTAAGTTAACGTTCAAAGTATCTAGAGAAACATGAACAAAATTCGCGCCTTAAAATATTTATTTCGCGCGATTAGTATATATCAGACATTCTTATTGGCTGCGTTAACGTTAACATAATTTATAATAATAATGCATAATATTTGTCTGAATTAAATTCGTCTGTTATTCGTCGTTTAACTCGGAGACGCATTTCTGTCGCATTAATCCGTCTGAGCCAGAAGGATAATGCGAGTGAGACGAATTTAATTCGACCTGTCGAATTTAATAGAGTTGTACGCTAGGCAGGCGCTAAACAACGCGTTTGTGTCGAATTTAATTCAGACGAATTTAATTCATCAATTAAATTCGACACAAATGCGACAGAAATGCGTCTCCAAGTTAAACGACGAATAATAGACAATTTAATTCAGACATATTAAATTAAATGCATAATTATTAAGAATTATGTTAACGTTAACTCAGCCAATAAGAATGTCTGATATATACTAATCGCGCGAAATAAATATTTTAAGGCGCGAAATTTTGTTCATGTTTCTCTAGATACTTTGAACGTTAACTTAAACCTACTATACTGCTTGCCAGACATTTTCCCACCATCCAGGGTTTCTTGTCAGACGACGACAACCTCGAATTCTAGGTTTTCTAGCCAGTTCGGCCACGGCTCCTTGTCAGAAGTAGTAAAGACAGATAGCAAATATCAATGATTAATGCCCTTTTCTTAAGGTACAGAAGCAATAAATTCCACCTTAAATGCCTTCTTTTTCGTTTCATAAGCATTCTTTTGTAACATATGATAAGGACAGCAGAACGATTGATCGGCGCCATGTTTATAGTTTCCAGGCTCTCGGCAGCGCGAGCAGTATTTTTTGCGACGTAAATTCGACGTATAACTCGGCGACGAATTTGTGTCGAATTCCAGACGAAGTTACTTGCAATTAAATTTGTCTGCCTTAAGGTGGAGTTACATGCACGAGCAACAAAATTGCTGCAACTTGCAACAAAATCTGATTTCAGCGCATGTTAAGTGAAAATGGTTACACATTAATTACAAATCACAAGGCAAAATGTGTCGACATTTCTACTTAACATGCGTTGCAATCAGATTTTGTTGCAAGTTGCAACAATTTTGTTGCTCGTGTAGTCCGGCAGATGGAAGCCGAAAATAAGCGAATACTTACGGCTGTTTGGGACAATTCGTTTTTGATGTAGAATTGAAGCTTGAAACATGCTGAATACAAATTTGATTGTTGGATTGTCTGAAATTTCTTGAGAAACGATTCCGACACGATTCTTTGCTGGCTTTTTCCTTCTTCGATTTGTAAACAAATTTTCGAAAAATTAATGCGCCCGCGCTATTTTGTCAGCACAAGCTTGTAACGTCATGTAAGAGGAAACGGGAAGAGATGCGATTAGGAGCTGTTATTTTCCCAATTATTTTCAAAATACTTTTTTTAGAATTTTATTGTTTTTGCTTATTACTTTCAAGCTTTACTAGTAGCTGTTGCCCCTGCATTAACAAGTTCTGCACACACATATTTAAACGATAACTGATACTATTATAAATATTATAAATATTATAAATATTATAAATATTATAAATATTATAAATATTATAAATATTATAAATATTATAAATATTATAAATATTTTAAATATTATAGATATTATAAATATTATAAATATTATAAATATTTTAAATATTATAAATATTATAAATATTATAAATATTATAAATATTATGAATATTATGAATATTATAAATATTATAAATATTATGAATATTATAAATATTATAAATATACTTTATAGTTAGGCCTAACTGACTTTGTGTTTTGTTTGTTGTTTTTCCATATATAGTTTTTGTAATCTTAGATGTAATAATTTATGCTAAATTTATAAAAAAATGATACATGTGACGTAACAAGTGCTTCAAAAGAAGCTATTTTCCAAAGAGTTAAGGTTCGAAAATGTCTGACAAGAGAAAGCGTCTATCAAACGTTAAAGTTAATTTAAATCTCACTCCTCCCAAAAAGAAAAGGGAAGAAGAAAGTTCTGTTTGTCTGATACAATGTAAAGAACGTGATAAATCGGCAACAATTACAAAATTCAGCGAGAAATCACGTGAATCGGTTTACAACGCAGCAAAAATCAGGAATGATGTCAATGTAGTTTCAATATTAGATGATTGTGGTAATAATTTTCCAGCATCACAATATGGTTTCCATCGAAAATGTTACCAGGAGTACACCCATCCAAAGTCGTTAAAAAAATTGGCGAGAAAGTCAAATGCACATGGCGTGTCGACGTGTCAATTTGAGCTCCTCAAGCCTTAGTCAAAATCTGGCTGATTCTTTATTACATTTTGTAAATAGCGAAAATAACGACTCTATATATAAGTTTTTGTGAAAGCGAATCTACACAAGAGAATAGTATAAATAATCCTTCTCCCGACAATAATATTAACAAAGGTGAGCAAACTGCAATGCCGAGTGATGATCTACAACACGTGGAATACCTACAACTAAATGGTGAGCGTTTATTATGGAAAGACAGCTTAGAAACGCTTAAGAATTTGATGCTACAACTACGAGAACAGGGTAAATGGTCCTCTCCTGGAGGCGAAGCGAGGCGATTTAAAAGTACCGACAAACGATTTGAAATGACGTGGTATGGCAGCAAGAAACAAACCTTAACATTTAGCGGAGATGAAGGTCAAAGAATGAGAGAAAAATTGATAGCTTTGGCTAACATGAGACTACGCAAAGAGTCAATAAATATAAAATCGGTTCTGCAGAATGATTCGGAAATAAATATTGAAAACAAATCTTCGACAAAGAATACTAATGAAGGCGATCATATGCAGGTTCCTAGCACCCTCGATGCCCTACAAGCGAAGATAGACAATTTTGAACAACAATTCAAAAACTTTCAGTCGAGAACCAATAATAATATCGATATTCTATTTACTAAATTGGAAAGGAACCCAGATGCCGAGAAGGAAAAAGAAATTGATCGATTACGTCAGGAAAACTGTAAATTAAAGACGGACAATGCAGAACTAATTCATCGCCTCAATAAACATGTAAACACAATATCGGAATTAAATAATATAATCAAGGTTGCCGGAGATGAAAAAGCCAGTTTACTAACTGCTATTCGCTTAATCCAGTCTGATGATATTAATGTTAGATCAAACAATAACGAATCTCAAGTATGGACACGAATAGAAAGTAAAACCCAACTAGGTAAAACAAAGAACCAAACACCTTCGCGACGTATTAATCAAGCGAGCAACCAAATTCTAGAACCAAATCAATATGCCTCGTTGGCGGTTGATGAATCTAATGAAAACAAAGATATGGATCATAATGTCACCCCTAGTTCAACACATATAGAAAATTCGACAAACTCCGGTAGAAGAATACAACACCAAAAGGAAAAGCAAAGATACTCGGTCGAACCGACACAACAACACAATGCCTCAAGCTCAAAGTCTACCGAAGGCCCGATAGCGATCCTAGGAGACTCGATGTTAAAGAAACTAAGTCCTTCAAGATTACGCCGTTCGACTGGGAAAAAGATTATAGTCAAGACGTTTCCTGGAGCAACTACTTCGGACATGAAGCATTATATTAAACCTACTCTGGAGAAAAATCCCCAACTAGTCGTGATCCACGTTGGAACAAATGACATCCAACATAAAGAGCCCGAGGAGATAGCTAAGGAAGTTGAATCACTGTGTAGAACTATCATGGTGAACGGCTTGTCAAAAGTCGCTATTTCAGAGATGATCCAGAGGGCAGATGACAAATTGAATACAAAAGTTAAAAAATCGAATGTTCTCCTGGCAAAGGTTTGTAAGAATAATAACTGGTCTCTTATTTCCAATAGTGATATAAATACTTCTAGCCTTAATGCATCTGGTTTACACCTAAATGATAGAGGAGCAGCAATACTAGCGAAGAACTATATTGATTTTTTCGCAAATGACTATATTCATCACAAATATGCATTTTAGACTATCTTTGCCATATTAACAATTTATCTGATAAGTCATCGGAATCAAGAGTAAATGAACAAACTTCTACGAGCACTAGCTATAGCGAGAATACAAATGAAAATGAATCTTTAATTCCAAAAATTAGAGGCTTTAAAATGGCAAGCTTAAATATTGCTAGCCTTCTAAAACATATTGATGAACTGAGACTAGTAATGCATAATAATGATATTGACGTACTCGCAATTAACGAAACTAGAATGGATAGTACTATACCAAGTGAATTGATATCCCTATCCGGTTATACTTGGGTTTCCAAAGACAGAAATAGATCTGGTGGTGGTGTTGGCTTTTTCATACGTGATACAATTAATTTCCAGCTTAGATCTGACCTTAACGATCCTAATATTGAAATCTTAACAATTGAAATTACCAAAAACAAAAGCAAGCCATTTCTACTTACCGCATGGTATAGGCCCCCAAGCGACCCTACCGACACACTTTATAAATTTGAAAATTGCCTTAAATTGATTGATAATGAAAATAAAGAAAGCATTATTTTAGGTGACGTTAATTCGGATATCCTAAGTAGCAATCCTTCACATCTTGTCTCTGAGATGAATTTCATCACTAATCTTTATCAATACGAGCAATTGATAAATGAACCTACAAGAGTCACAAAAGACAACGCAACTTTGATTGATCACTTTTATACAACAAAACCAGACTCAATAATTTCTAGTGGGGTAAGAATTATCACTATTAGTGACCACTACTTAATTTACGGTATTCGTAAATTTTATACAACCAAGGGAGCCCCGGAAGTTGTAGAATATCGGGATTTCAAGCACTTTAATGAAAACAATTTTCTTTTTGAATTGGAATCATTATCAAGCCTAAATTTAGACCATTTAGATCCCAACATTTCTTGGTTAACTTGGAAAAATAAATTTCTTCATATTGTCAATAAACATGCACCCTTAAAAAAACGTAGAGTGTCTAAGAAACGTGTACCTTGGTTAACCCGTGAGTTAAAATATTATAAACGCCAAAAAGCATATCTTAAACGAAAGGCAACTTTATCTAACTTAGACGGCGACTGGGCAGCCTATAAATCATTGAAGAATCATTATAATAGATTGATTAAAAGTACAATGCGTCAACACTATCAAGAAAAGATACATAATAATTCAGGTGATATTAAGAAAACATGGAAAATAATCAATGAGGTGATTAACAAGTCAAAAAAAGCCAATAAAGTACTACAAACACGTTCCAGAGCAAAGTGTGATATTCTATTTACTTAAAAAAATGGACAAATACACCTCATACGAGAAAAATGTCCACAAATGTAAAATCTCATAATATCCTATGCTAAAAGTTAACATTTTGGTGTAATTTTGCCAAAAAATATTACGTGTGGCAAAAAAATGCAAAAAAGATCAATATTTTCAATAGGTTTGAGTGTGATAAAACTAAAGAAGATATCAATAGTTGGTTTGGATAAATCCATGCCAACATGAAAAGACACTAAATAGGTAAATTTTCAAAGCACATTCACGGACATGTCGAGACCACATTTGCACAGGGTGGATAAATTAGGAATATTTTGAAAACATATTAATAGTAGGTTTGGATAAATCCACGCCAACATGAAAAGATACTAAAAAGGTCATTTTCTAAAGCAGATGTCACCGACATGTCGAGACCACATTTGGACATGGTGGATAAATTAGGAATATTTTGCAAACATATTAATAGTCGGTTTGGATAAATCCACGCCAACATGAAAAAATACTAAAAAGGTCATTTTTCAAAGCAGATGTCACCGACATGTCGAGACCACATTTAGACATGGTGGATAAATTTGGAATATTTTGCAAACATATTAATAGTCGGTTTGGATAAATCCACGCCAACATGAAAAGATACTAAAAAGGTCATTTTTCAAAGCAGATGTCACCGACATGTCGAGACCACATTTACACATGGTGGATAAATTAGGAATATTTTGCAAACATATTAATAGTCGGTTTGGATAAATCCACACCAACATGAAAAGATACTAAAAAGGTCATTTTTCAAAGCAGATGTCACCGACATGTCGAGACCACATTTGCACATGGTGGATAAATTAGGAATATTTTGCAAACATGTTAATAGTTGGCTTGGATAAATCCACGCCAACAAGAAAAGATACTAAAAAGGTCATTTTTCAAAGCAGATGTCACCGACATGTCGAGACCACATTTGCACATGGTGGATAAATTAGGAATATTTTGCAAACATGTTAATAGTTGGCTTGGATAAATCCACGCCAACATGAAAAGATACTAAAAAGGTCATTTTTCAAAGCAGATGTCACCGACATGTCGAGACCACATTTGGACATGGTGGATAAATTAGGAATATTTTGCAAACATATTAATAGTCGGTTTGGATAAATCCACGCCAACATGAAAAGATACTAAAAAGGTCATTTTTCAAAGCAGATGTCACCGACATGTCGAGACCACATTTGCACCGGTTGATAAATTAGGAATATTTTGCAAACATATTAATGGTTGGTTTGGATAAATCGACGCCAACATGAAAAGACACTAAATAGGCCATTTTTCAAAACAGATGTCACCGACATGTCGAGACCACATTTGCACATGGTTGATAAATTAGGAATATTTTGCGAACATATTAATAGTTGGTTTGGATAAATCGATGGCAACATGAAAAGACACTAAAAAGGTCGGTTTTCAAAGCAGAAGTCACCGACATGTTGAGACCACATTTGCACATGGTTGATAAATTAGGAATATTTTGCGAACACATTAATAGTTGCTTTGGATAAATTCACACCAACATGAAAAGACACTAAATAGGTCATTTTTCAAAGCAGTTACAAGTCACATTTCCATATAACCATACATACTCTTGTTTTAACCACCATGCCTTGCTTATTAAATCTTAAAATATTTCATATGTAGGGGCAAAGTGAGGCTGTGGCAAAAACAATAGTATGATATTAGTAAACTATACGATCTCAGTATTTCAAAATACATACTGCAGTAAGGATCAGAATTCTTTTATTTGGATGTTTTAAAAGTTTCCATTCAGCTTCTCTGTCGAATGTTTGTTGCATAGCAGTACAACATCACCTTTTCTACGATTCACAATAACAAAGATGTGAGGGTTGGATATATTGCGCAGGCTTGGATTGATGAGTTTTAGCCATTCCTCACATTAAACATAATAACACAGTCTCTGGAGTGGGGGTGGAAGACTCCTTGATGACTTGAAAAGTGATATATCTGAAAAGGCAACAAGACAGAAATAATCTAAAGTGATAAATTAACACAATTCAATGTATATAATGTAGCATTATAACCAATAGGACTCTACATTGAGAACTCATGACAGTGACAGTACACTCAGGCTGAGATGAATTTGGGTTTTATATTAAAGTACTGGCAATTTGAGTGAAATACTGGTTGAATGCAGTCGCTGTAAGATTTTGGTAGCGTGTGGAAGTAGTGTTCTTTTTCTTTGGCAAAAGGTCATTCAATGTGCCCTCCACATTTGTTTGGAATCTTGTTTTCCAGTTAACTGAGAGGAGTAATAAATACTTTTTTCTTTCCGTAATTTCCCAGTAACAGCATTGCGTAGCCTTTTATAGTTGCTCCAGTAGATCTCTTGATTTGTCTTTATTGCTTTCTTGTGGTAATAATCGCGCTCCTTCATTAGGTTCTTTACTTCGCGAGTAATCCAGGGCAGGGATCTTCCATGTACACGGCGGGTACTAACTGGTGCGTGACTATCTGCTACTGTTTAAAATAAATCTTTAAACGAATTCCATGCTTCTTCAGGATTTGGTTCCATCTCTAATATATTCCAAGGTACATAGCTTAAATCTGTTTTAAACAGTTCAGAGTCATAATTCTTATAGTTCCGAACTTCGACAGTCTTTGGCGGCATAGGCTTTATTCTGTGGAGTTTCCTAACTCTAACAATAGCGAGGTGATCAGAGAAACCGATTTGTATGACTCCAGATGAATATAATTCAGGTCTAGATGTAAAAATAGGTCAATTAACGTTTTGGAATGTTGCGTAATTCTTGTGAACGTAGTAATTATCTGTTTAAGACAATAGATCCTGGTCACGCGCTGAAGGTTTTTGGTTGTTGACGACATACTTGGGGCAGCATAGTCAAAGTTGAAATCACCCAGCAAAATGGTTTCGATACCGTCTTTCGTAAAATTGGCCAGTCCTCTTTCTAAATTATTTATAAATATAGAAGGGTCGAGATGGGGAGGTCTATAAAAAGCACCAATTAGGATATTTTTAGTTTTAGGTTGGGTTAACTCAAACAATATGGCCTCTATATTCTCGTCTATCGGTGGTATCTGAAAACAGCAAGTCGCTCTAGCCCATATAAATGAACATAAAACTGTAACAATGGTAAGTAAATTGGTAATATGATATTGAATAACGGGGTATAATACACATATGAATAGCAGCTGTAGCACAAGGCTAACAAAATAAAACTTCCCACGCACAGATAAAATTGTCAGAAGTGGAATTAAGTGCCACTAACAAAAATATGGTATTAAAAACAATTAACAAATTGTAGATACGAAATAAATTACCACAGTATGGTATCCGTATATAGGATATATTATGTATAATTTCAAGGTTACTAAAGATTAAAGCCAGTAAACTTATAATTTCCCTAATGCCCGCAAAATAGCTCCCCGGTAGCTGCGGTAAAATAAATTGGAACGCTTCACGAATTTGCGTGTCATCCTTGCGCTAAATGTAAACTGATGTTCTCTGGAACATTGGAACATTGGGATTTTGGGATTTTGGAACGCTCGGTTGTCATCTTGGGGGACTGGATCTACTACTACTGGAACATTCAAGATGGCGGATATTACAGGAGTGAAATTTGTATATTCTTCGTGGTTTTCTGAAAGATTATTGAGCATTTCTTGACTATTTTTCCTGGGGAAATAAATACAACTCTTAAGGATATTCCGAGATATATTTGTGTTGATTTTAAATAATAGTAAGTTGTATAAAATATCGAAATTGTTGCTTTCATGGCTGAAAATATTTACAAATTATTTACAAGTTTAATTGTTTTTTTGCTTTTCGCTCGTCAGCCTTTTTCTTTAGCCACTCATTCTTTGGGATCTGGCCTTCCTCATTCGGGCAATATGTTTGGCCATAATATTGCGAGTGGCCAGTTTCCTTATTCTGGGGCTGTCCACATTTTTTACATGTATAGGCCAACCGCACTTTTTTGGGGGAGGGAAGTCCTTGCGCCCTGGCCGCTTCTGCTTGTTTCTGGAGGGCTTCAGCTTTTCTTTTTCTCCAAGCGGTGGTTCTTGGTATTACAAACATAAATCTTATTTAGTATTTGCCTTTTTTAGGGAGATCAACATTGGTAATTATTATTTATTATGGATCATTATGTACTTACAATTGGATGGGATCGTTTGAGCTTTTTCTACAATCACTAGCTCTGGATCTTCTGCAACAACACTTGTTGATGGAACCGATGGATTGGTAGAAACAGGCGGTGGAATCACTGGCATTGGATTTGGCTGTAGCTCTAGTGGTTGTGGTAGGGGCTCATTTGCAGCGAGAGGTGGATTTGGAACTAATAGGCCTTGTAGCAGCAGCTTGACCTCGTCCACTCTTTCCTTGTTCTTGTACCTGTGAAAAACAGTAAGGAAATGAACAATTTTATAAACTGTTTAATATGATAATAAATATGTAAATATTATATATATATTACTTTTATATTGTATTAAAGGAACACTTACCATTTTGATATTGTTGTTTCATTTATGGGAAACAGCTGGAGCTGTGTGTCCTTGTAGAGGCGACTGTTGATGACAGTGTTCCTCAGGGCATTGTACCTTAAGAGTATCACCTTCCACTTAGAAAGATAGGGACTCTCAGGTCCTTTTGCCCTTTGTTCGACTGCCTCCCCAGTCAATCGTAGAATGATTGCCCCCACAAGTCTGCTCTTGGACGGGCACCTTGCTACTTGTCCCCCAGTAACGAATGTTCTAAAAATGTACGATATACAATAAAATAATTTTTTTTTGTCATTGTTGATATGTTTTTTTTTTATTATTATTATTATCATAATATTTTGACAGGGGGCCTAACTCGCAGTGCGATTTTCAGTAGGGCCCTGATAAAAACTATTACATAAATAATAAATTGTACATAAAGTTAATAAAAGTTAGTAGAGGTTAAATTAAAAAGCTAAAAAGTTAGAAATAAGTATACTGTAATAGAATATACATATAGAGCATTCCAAAAGCATTATTCTATGAAAGTCTAAAAATTTGTTGCTAAAAGGCTTTTAAAACGTGTTAGTGTTTCAGCCTGTTTGATGTGTTCTGGCACACTATTCCAGTCATTTACTGCATGCACAACGAATCTCTGCAAGCCCCAGTTTGTCTTTGATTTAGGCACACGGATTTTCTCAGAACCTCTGGTGTTATAACCGTGGTCGCCATTCTTTCGAAAGTCATAATTAAAATTAACCAGACCATTTAGACACTTGTACATCGCCACGCGACGATGAGAACAGCGGCGAGAGGTTAGAGGTTTCCATGTCAGCTGATCAATAGCCTGAGTTGCTGATGTATACTTTGGTAAATCCAATATGGTACGAGCTGCATTATTTTGAAGTACTTGAAGTTGGTTCATCAAAAGAGCATTATTTTTAACACCCCATACAACGTCCGCGTAATCAAACAGAGGTAGAATTAGACTGTTATATAAGGTTATTCTTGCGTCGCGGGGAAGTAGATGTTTTACTCGTCGTAGAGCTCCTAATCGTTGACAAACTTTCACATTTAACTGGTCAATATGATCCAACCAAGTCATGTTCTTGTGCATAATAACACCCAGATATTTAAACGAATCTTCATCATGAATTTGACATCTGTTTATATGCAAGGAAATTTTTTTTATCTTTGCCAGTTTTTGATTACTCCCAAATATAACAAATTTACATTTAGTTTCATTCAATGTTAGGAGGTTTTCGTTGAGCCACCGGCTTAAACTTGCTAGATCGGAATTTAGTTTATCCTCAACTACTGATACATCAGGAGAAGAAAAATAAATAACCGTGTCATCAGCATAAAGAGATACGTTACAGTGTTTTATACATGAAGGCAGGTCGTTCACATAGATGATAAATAGTAACGGACCCAACACACTTCCCTGGGGTACTCCAATGTGTACAGATTTAGCAGACGAGTAAATATTTCCAACTGCAGTTACTTGAGTTCTGTTAGTAAGATATGATTCAAGCCAGTTTACGGATGTGTCAGCAAAGCCGGCGCGCTTCAGTTTATCATACAGAATTCCGTGATCGACGGTGTCAAAAGCTTTCGTTAAATCAACTGAAACTACCCCTGTGAAAAGTCCTCTGTCCATGTTTTCCAGAATTGAGTCTGTGAAGTCGACGAGGGCAATCTCAGTCGAGCTTTTGGGGGCCTAAAACCAAACTGAAATGGCGACAAAAGTTTATTATCCTGTAGATAGCTATACATTTGTGAGTGGGCCGCTTTCTCTAGAATTTTGCTAACAATCGCGAGAACTGTTATTGGCCGGTAGTTATTTGGATCAGTTCTTTCCCCAGACTTAAACAGAGCAGTAACCTTCCCACATTTCCAAATGTCAGGGTATATAGAAGAAGACAGTGAACGATTAAATAATTTGGTCAGTACAGGAGTTAGAACATTGGCAGAATCTTTCAACAAACGAGCACTAACACGATCAAGACCAATAGCTTTATTGGTTTTCAACTCATGGAGATTTTTGTTAACAAATTGTTCATCAATATCCCCAAAGGAAAACTCACAAGATGTTGATGCCCAAATATCACTGACAGAATTTGGCGTAATGACAGGCGAATGAATCCGAATCTAGACTTGATCAATGTCGATGTTGTTATTTGATTTATACCTTGCTGATTTATATCCCCCGATGTTGTTATTTGATTTATACCTTGCCATTGCCTCTGTGCCAATGTGTCCTGAGGATTTTTTCTTCAAAACCGCCCTTTGGCTTTCTTGTACCTTGGTGGAAACACCAACGCTTTCTTGTCATACTCGTCCAGGTTGTGATAAAGCTGGGTTATCTCTGCTGCCTGCTTGTTGGTGACGTGACTGTCCAACGCCAACAAAGCAGTAGCAAGTTTGCCAACTTTATCCCAACCTGGAATCGACGGGCAAATCTCCATTCTGGGAGCGGAGATAGGACATGCCAATGAGCTCTTGTGTGTATGCAGGCGGTGTGCAAAAGCTGGGCAGGGCAGGCTCATTGCAGATCGAAGTGGACAAGGCATTAAGGCGATGCTTCAGGGAGATGTCAAAGCTTCGTGGAACTTTCTCCGCACCCACTTTGCTGTCCTCCGAGCGCTGCATGTTCCACCGTGCCAATCCCTCTATGAGGTATGCCTGAAAGGTCACTCCGCTTGCTGATGTTCCTTAAATTACCGATAGAATAATGAATATGGCAATAAAAATATAGAAGTACACAAAAAAACTTAATATAATATTAAATTAAACAATGGGTTGCAAAGAGGAGACATCCGGACTTGAACCCGGAAACGACAAGCCTGAAACTGTCTGTCTCCGATGGTTTTTAACTCATTTGCCCCCCATCTACAAATAAATACTTTACTGTAGTCCACATGCATGTTACCTGGAATGAACCTTGCCAAATGTAAGTGGAAGCTTTCCAAAGATGTTGTTCCACGTGCACACCTGTACACTGGAAGGCTTTTACCTCCCTTCTTAATCTGGCCAACCTCGGTGTACAGTTGTATTCCGGGTGGATCCTGGATGCACAGGATGTGCCTTCTTTGCTCGGGCCAGATCTCCGTCACCATCTCTTCCCTGAACAAAGGGACCCCTAGCACATCTGTTGCTGTTGCCATGGTGGTAAACAGCGAGTCCAGCAACGAATCGGTGGTCTCAACACCCCTGGTGCGTCTTCGACAGTGTTGAGCCAGTTCTTTCTTTCCGACTGCACTCCTGACGGCCTCGGACGACGGGTTCTTAACGCCGTTCCCGACGAGTTCGGATTTCTTGGCCGCATATAGGGATTCAAGGTCTTGCTGATCCCATTCGAATATGCACCTCGACAAACTCGCCATGAACACAGAGTACAGCGGATGGCTCTCACTGGTGACGCCCACAGCTAGGCGTCTCATAAAGTGAAAGATGTCCAGCCTAACCAACAGGTTTTCCCAAGCAGGAAACAACAGCTGTAACTTCGATACTCCTTCCTGAGTGCTGCAGCACTCACGGTCGGTGTAAAGAAGCACAGGTGGAGTCACACCTGCTCGTGAAAACCTATTGATTAGCCAATCGGCCATCACTTGTAGAGACCCCATGCTCTCAGATGTTGTAACGATGGAATTCAACTCCTCCCCCTTCTCGTTACCCACGTTGGTGACCCTGCTTGCATTGCCGCCCTTGGCTCCCTGCAGCTTCTTGGTGATCTTTTTGGTGGAGTCAATTTTCAAAACCCTCCCATACATCGAAGTGGTGACCGCCCTGAGGTAATCAAGCCTGTTGTACACATTTCGTACATAACGGGCAAGAAACCACCTGGCACTGGGTGGATTCTTCAATTGTTGCTCCTTCTGGTACTCTACAGGTGACTGGCCAAAAGTGTGAGCAGCTGCACGGTGTTGTTTGCAGGCGCTGAGGTAGCTCACACACTTTCGCATCCATTCCTCGCTGTGGAGTTCACAGATGTTGTTTTGCAGAGCGCTGGGACTGTTGCCAAGGGTTCGAGATCTCAGAAAAGAAATCACAGACACATCACAGGCATACATATATGTCAGTACCACCGGGAACTTGTTCCTCACTCCGTCAGGCAGGAGGTCGAGGATCCTCTTATCCCATGCAATAAAGGTGCTGTTGCAACCCTTGCAGAAGTGGTACTCTGCAGCCAAGTAATAATAGTCCTTGATTTCGAGGACTAGCCTTACACGGGTGTAAATGCCTTTGGACTGCAGAGTCCTTGCAGGTATATTGCATGTGGGACATTGGAGGACGATATCCCACATACGCATGGGCATCCACAAGAAAAGTCGGCGACGAAAGTATGCCTCCGGGTATGGTTTTGCTGTCGAGTTAGGGGAGGGCGGTGGGGTTGGAAACCACCAATTTTTGAGCTTGGAGGTTAAGTTCCTCTTGCTCACAAACATTTCTTTGCCTACCCAGCACTGGTCCTCATAGGTCATGTTTTGGGACCATTGCTTTGGCAGGCGAAGGGAATGATCATTTGTTGGAGGTCGCTTAGTCTGTGCCTACAATTAAAAACACAGATATAATCTTTTCTACTGTCTTACTGTATGAAAGCAATGTGATTCTGTAATCAAGAATTATAACTTTACCTTGTTTGTACTTTCGACTGGCTTTGACTGCTGTGGTTGTGACTCTGTAATGGTTGATTCACTGGTTTGCAACACAACTTCAGACTGAAAGAATATTTAAACAATATTACTAATGTTTCACATGGGTCTTTGTTTCTTATTCATGAAAACACTACTGGTATACTGTACCTGCAAGGGTTCATTAGCTGCAAGAGTAGCCTCTATACCATGAACTGATTCCAAAAGGTCAGCATGCTATGAAGAATTTTAATTTAACTTATATAGTTTACCGATGGAAAATTAAAAGCACGCCAATTCAACTCACATGGTGATTTAATGCCAGTATGATTCATTATACTGTTAAAAATACTGTTGTTACAAATACTCATAGATACTTGTTCGCCAGCAGTATTCCAGTCAGAGGTTTCCTCGTGAAATGCCGTTGATGTTGAAACTACACTCTGAAAGATTTGAGAATAATTCAATTAAATTGTAATTATGCTGTACCTGGTACATCATTCACTATGATTCACAAACTAATATGGTACATGTTTTGAATGTAAATGCCATGCAAATTTTTATGTATTACGTCACAGGGCACATCTTCATTCCGTAGTGTAGTGGTCATCACTAGCGCCTAACACGCGCAAGATTCCCAGTTCGATCCTGGGCGGCAACGATGTATTGATGGAAACGTTCTGAATAAAATTTTCTCTAGATCGAAAGCAAGCAGGCATAAATTTGCACATGGTTAACTGGAAATATTTTCTAAAAAATGCACACTTACAGCAATCCATGCTCAAATAAGTCTTTTGAATGGATTTTGGACACTTGCCCGAGAAATATTAATTTTTTTGTTTCCTTAATAGCGTCAAATATGTTAACAATTGTAGCAATATATTTAACGACCGCCAATTTTAAAATTTCCTGTCAGGTGTGGGATTCGAACCACGCCCACATTAGTGGACCAGAACGCCCTCTGACTGCGCATTAGCGGAGCAGGTGTGCAAACTTGCAATTGTGTCCGGCGCCTTAGACCGCTCGGCCATCCTGACAGCTTGCAAACTTTGTGCCTACTGTACATTAACGTCATTTTATTTTCTTATTAACGGGAAAAAAAATTTAAATTTAAAACAGAAAAATATATCCGACTGGAACTAACTCAACAATCATTACTCATATCGCACAACAGTGCTCCTTCTGTTGTCCCAAAAGAAGAATCCAAATGCCGTGATGCGGCAGGATCAAATAAATAAATTTTCTGTCCATTTGGAACGATTGATACTGCGGAAGTTTGCAAAACGTTGAGAGCATGCGTTTGTTTCTGTAGCGTTGCAGTCATCACTTTACACGTGCAAGGCACGCGGAGAAATATTAAATATTTTTTGCTTTCGAAATATCGTCAACAAGAACCAGGTAATATCTAATGAGATAATAAACATGACAGCTGTTTCCAGCGATTGAGCTCAAGATTGAGTGGTGGGAGAGAACGCGAGATTCATTGTCATTGTGCTGCTGCAAACTAACACCGCGAAAAAATTCTTTAGCTGGTTAGCGTTTAATTATTTAAGAATTGAATGTAACGACAAGGCGATTTTGCATGATCTATCAAGTAGTTTTCTCCCACGTAAAACTTCCACATCTGGGAATGCATTAGCCATCGCCGAACATCTTTCCGCATGCAGGTTTCCGTAGTGTAGCAGGCGCGGATCCAGCCTAAAACCCTGACCGTGGCGCACTCCAAAACCGCGCATAATTAGGGGTGTCCGGGGGTATCCCCCCCGGAAAATTTTTGAAATATGAACCCCGGAAATGCCATTTCCTGAGTTCTGAGCATCGAATTCTATCATATAATTCGTCATTAATTACGCCATATTTTAGACAGCATATATGGAGAAACACACTAAATAAGTCAAATATTTAAACAACATACCATGTTGTTCAGCGAACTTTACAACATTAGAATGTTACAAAATCACCGTACTTACATAAAACAACAACAAAGGCTGCTTACAACAAAGGCTGCGCACGTACTGTTCCTGTGTATTTCAGGTTCTTCGTAGCAAAAAAATCCATTTAGGGCTGTACGTCGAACTCAATCATCTTGGCGTTTCAGTTGCAACGTAGATCTTTTACGGGGTGGTTTTTTTTTCAGCTGCACATCGATACCAAGTGTCTTATTCTCGATCATTCGCTTAAACTGTGTAGCACGGAGAGTTGCCGTTGCGTGAACATTGGATTTTTCACCATGCTGACATAGTTTATGGACAGCAAAGCACTTGGAGGAAGAGCACTGGTCATCAATCGTTGGAGCTGGCTTGCATTATGCGTGCTTTCACCGCCAAAAAGAACACAAGTGACGCAAAAACCACCGTTTGCCACAGCAGAGTAAGCCAACCATGGAAATCGTGATAACCATGCCAACCGGAAACGTGTACCAATATTTTCGTGTGGAGGAAAAGAAAAATCAGAACCAGGTTTCCAATGATTGCACAGAATTTCGTACTTTTTCGAATCAGGAAGACTGGACACCAGATTTACTACGTAGTTGTAGACATCATCTGGCCACGAATTGGTAGAAGTTCGTTGTGTTTTGGTGTGAGATTTTTCTGAAGTAGGACCAGTGTTGGGAGTTACAGATGAAATTCCTTTACTAGTGCTGGGAAATTTGATTTCACTGTCTACAATTTCTTGTGTGTTGCATGCTCGTTTCACAAGAAGCGCATCGATCTAAGCTAATTTGTTTTCTTTTTGTACCAGTCGTCTGCTCTTTAGTATGTGTAGTCACTTGTGTAGAGGAAGGAGCAGAAGAAACTTTAGTAGAAATTTTAGGAGAAACTGTTGGAGGAACTTTAGGATGAACTGGCATGGCAGACTTCAATAAGGTTGGAAGGCGTGCTTTAAAATAATGGTCTCGTGGCTGAAGCGCTTTAACTGGTTTGCACAAGGTAACAAAATGATTTTTGGTGGATGGAATTCTTCGATCAACCAAATAAGACGGTGGCATCGCAGCTGAGCAAAACGAAAGATATGGACAAATTCAATTGCACTGCCATCAAGATAATCCCGTGGATATATTGTACAATTGAATCCAAGGAATCCCAATTTCTTTCGCTACAGTATCAGTGGTGAGTGGGTAGTATTACTGAATGGCACACTGAATTACTGTGGACAAGGCAAACATGCACACCATGTGATGATGAGAATGTGTAATTTTTTGCAGTTTCCTTTGGTTCTTCTAAAACTGCTGCAATTTCATTAGAATTCTCGAAAAAAGTAAGCGCTGCATCAGATACACACATGGCAAAGGCATTTTTAAGTGAAGTGAATGCTACGTTTTTATGCTGGGACTCGATGACGGGATGGTTAGCATAGTATTTGGCATTCTCAAACAGTTCAATACTGATGAGGCATCTCAAGTGAGCAGACAATCTCTCATTCCCAATTAACGCAATAGAACATGCATTTATAGAGACAATTCCCATTAGCCGAAGTACTGAAAGAAAATCAGCATTTAAGTATCAATGGTTATTTTATATTATTTTGTGAATATTCTATTGAAACTTTTAACCAGAATGTCAACTTCTTTGTACCACACAGTAATTATGTGATTATGCTTTGCAAACTTCGCTCAAATTATCTGGATCAGAACAAATGTTATGCCGTGCCATTTGAGAAATAGCAAGGAACCATTTGTTTTCCCAATTGGTTTCCCTCCTTTTGCTTGTATAATCATTGGTCACTTTCCATATAACTTTGTGCCGAAAGGATAATTACTAGAATTAATCAGGGTAGCCCATAGAACTAGAGTAGAGTTGGTTTTAAGGTAAGGACTGGAGATTAAATTTTGGGATTGTTAATATGGAAATTGAGCCATAATCATAATTACTTTAACAATGAGGCCCCCTACAATGTCTTTGTGTAATTTGAGTAACATCATGATGACATCAAATTCACAGCTGGCCTTGACTAACTCATGGGAATTTGTTGCAGTTTTAGATTTGGGATTAAGTTTTAATGTCAGGATCCTAATCAGGATTAGGTTTGAATCCCACAGTGGCCAGGCATATTTTTCAAGCCTGCCTGGTGTGGATATACACTCAGAGTAACATCACACAAGCATCTTATTCACCTGAGTGCATTACACCAACACAGCAAATATCATGATTATTAGATTACACTGATATCGAAGGAACTAGACTCAGTTCCGAAGTATCGCATACTCGAACCGACCTGACCGTGTAGTTCAGTTGGCAGAGCATTGGGCTAGTATTCCAAAGGTCGTAGTTTCGAATCCCACCGTGGCCAGGCATATGTTTCAAGCCTGCCCGGTGTGGATATCGATATACACTCAGAGTAACATGACACAAGCAATTTAGAAATATTTCTTCAGAAATCTTGTCTGGATGAATGAAAGTTTTCTTCAACGTTTCGATCGAAGAAAACAGGCATGCAGAAACACACAAACAAAAACACTAGGTTAAATTTTAACCAAGGATTAGCCTTAACCTAGCTTAGAACAACCGACCCCTGGTTAACCTACAAATATTAAGGCGCTATTTAAAGCCATTTAATTTTACAGTCGACAATCAAATGTTGTAGGCGTGTTAACTGTAACAAAATACTGATAACAGTTTTAGACATAGTTATTTACTAATATTTCACGACTACATTGCCCATAAATGCAATTTATATTTTATTGACATGACAACCGCCATGTGTTCGAGATCATATTAATACCATTTCACTGACAAAAATTTACATACATACAAATTTGCATAAAGAAATTATTCCCTGACCCCAGCGTAAATGCAAATTTAATATAAGTCGATTAAAAATTCTTACCTAACAGGAACATTAGGCTCAGATCTTTCATTTGGCTCTTGGGGAACTGCAGTTTTGAAAATTCGCACGTTCGCAGCACGATGTCGCCAGTAGATTTTATACGGCGCAGCCATTCTTCAGTGATAAATTCATCACATTGTTGCCTCAAGAGCGATAATTCCCCTGAAATATGTTCGCGTAGGTTTGCTTGTTGAAAGATTTCGACGAGCTTCCTAAGAACATCGACCTTTTTAAAAGCTTCCATCCTGATAGCATTCAATCCAAAACTGCCCAATGTAGCTTGTGATGTAACTTTATCCCGTCAAGTCGACTAGTATCGAACTTTATTGTTGATCATTTGTATTGGGCAATCAAAATAGAGCCACCGTGGCACACCGTGGCGCACATGACCATAACTTGCCCTGTGATTGGTTTGCAACGCTGCACCGTGGCAGAAAGTTACTTTATTTAGTAACAATTGCGCAATTTTTTGCACGCTGACCGTGGCATTTTGTGGCTGTGATCGCAGCTTCGAATTTACGACTGTTTTCCGAACATATTCGGCACAATTCGGCACGCTTTCGGCGGTTTTTATAGTTCAGTATTTAACTGGCTAATTATACTATTGATCAAGGAATATATTTCGGAAGTTTTTTCTGCTTTAATCACGTATCCATATTAATATGAGAACAATTACGAAAGATATTTGTGGTGTTACTCTGAGTATATATCCACACCTGGCGAGCTTGAAAAATATGCCCGGCCACGGTGGGATTCGAACCTACGACCTTTGGAATACCAGCCCAATGCTCTTCCAACTGAGCTACGCGGTCAGGACGGTTCGACTTACTCGAACCGTCCTGACCGCGTAGCTCAGCTGGAAGAGCATTGGGCTAGTATTCCAAAGGTCGTAGGTTCGAATCCCACCGTGGCCGGGCATTTTTTCAAGCTCGCCCGGTGTGGATATACACTCAGAGTAACACCACAAATATCATATTCACCTGAGTACACTACACCAACACAGAAAAAAAAATAAAATCATATTAATAGAATACATTGGTATCGAAGGAACTAGATTCTGTTCCGAAATATCACTTACTCGAACCGTCCTGACCGTGTAGCTCAGTTGAAAGAGCATTGGGCTAGTATTCCAAAGGTCGTAGGTTCGAATCCCACCGTGGCCGGGCATATTTTTCAAGCTCGCCCGGTGTGGATATACACTCAGAGTAACACCACAAATATCATATTCACCTGAGTACACTACACCAACACAAAAAAAAAGATTCTTTAATTCTTGAAAGTGGAAGCACTGTTAAATCTTACCTTGGTATGTGCAGTGAACCACTGGTTGTTGTTCAGCAAGACCATACATTTGTGGGCAGGTTGTAGTGTGGTTTTCAGAAACATACTGGAGCATGTACGACAGGCTATCAATGCATTGCTGGTATCGAAATCACCAAAGTTGATTGGTTTCCTACAGGCTAAGCATTAGCCTGCGTGCAGGCCCAAGGGAACTGATATTGCGCCTGCAACCATCGCCCGGCATTTTGTAAAACGCCCCTTTTCATAACACGCCCCATTCGCGCGTCAATTGTCAAAAAAGAACCAATGACAGCACCCAAATATTAACAAACAAACTCGCATTAAAATGTTGCGGGGTTTTCTCTGCTGATTCAGAACACTAATAAACAATGTGTAAATGGCTGCGTTTTAACTCCAAAAAAGCAAGCAACGCAGTCAGTAATTGCCAAATTTGCAAGTGCTCATTTTCAACTAAAATCGGAACAGGCAAATTAGGACGAATTTCAACAGAAAACCAGTCTCAAACTTCAAATCATGAGGGAAGTCGTGCGACCACATTAGGATTTATATTATGTGTGCTGCGCTGTCGCCATTGGCATTGTTATAAATAAATTGTCTCACTTATCAGATCGTGTGTGCAATTCTTGTTGGCGGCGGAAAGTACGAAATTTATTTCATTTGCTAAAGAACTCTACAAAAGAAGAGAGCGTTCCGAGTCCAGATCGTTTCGTTTCAAACGGCAATTTAATACCGCCTTCTGTTTCGCTCTCTCAGCGAAGCCTTGTAAATCGCAAAGTGTTTCGAATAGGCTTACAGTCCTTACATGCACTGCATCTCAACATCAACCAAAAGACAATTTTCTTGAGGAAGTGAGAACACATAACGTATCAACTGAAGTCTGTTTGAAATTAATGAAACTCAAGTAAAGGTTACTATAGTTTACCCCAGTCGTAATTTGCTATTCCAACACCTCACGACAAGCAATCCCCATTGGCATAACGGAAAAAACATGTCTTCCTTCAAGTAAACAATAAACAGTCTGTTCTTGTTCCATTTGTAATGGAAAAAAGTGACCAATTTTCAAATTTTAAGCTTATCGAGAGCCTTTGTCTATGCCTTTGTGATGAATCACTGTTCCCTTGGGCCTGCATGCTAGGTTAATTAATTACCGATCGCCTCAGCTAGCCAATGGGAATTTAGCCGGCGGTTCGGCCGGCGAAAATCGAAAACATGGGGTGATGGTTGCAGGCCCACTACCAGTTCCCTTGGGCCTGCACGCAGGCTAGCTAAGCATGAATATGTCGCAATAAATTCCTTGACAGCGAGAATGGATGCCTCCGTAGATATCACATTACATGTGGCAAGTGGGCGCTTGGCTGATCTTGCTACTGTCATTTCTTCGTCCAATACCGTTATCGACGTCTCGAACGCTGTTGTTAGATTCAGCTGACCATTGAATTTGGAGACAACAACGTTTTCCAAACGTAGAACATCTCCATTTTTGAAGCAGATGACATCAGCCCGCTCGCCAAAGAATCAATTCCATCTGCCCCGTCATATCCCCGACACAAACAGTTCTCTTTGTTTTGGTTTCTGGAAAGGTGCCAACTACACAAGGTTTTTCGAGACTTACGACCTTCGCTTTCACATTCAAAAATCTCTTGTCGCCCGTTTCTCCTCTCAAAATCTCCGAAATAGTGTAGCTGCAATCTTCTATTTGAACCTGGGAGGCCGCCAATGTAATTTTGGTTTCATGGTCAAGCACCAATTCCGAGGTTGCTTTGTCCCCAAACGATTTCTTTACCTTGAACGACTCCAATTCGTAGGTTTTGTTCGACTCGAGCTTCGGGTAGATGTCTTCGTTGAAACACACAGCTCTAATCGTTAAAGATTTCTCGTTGTCGCATAAATTAACCGAGAACATGCTGCCATTCCGCGTGGGTTTCACAGGACTCTTGTTCAGGATCGCACATGTCAACGTCTTTGATGATCTGCGAGGAGAATTTGGAGGGAGTGTTGCTTTTATATCATTGATTGTTGTCTGGTTTTTGAAACTGTTCTCAAACTCATGCTGCCATTCCGCGTGGGTTTCACAGGACTCTTGTTCAGGATCGCACATGTCAACGTCTTTGATGATCTGCGAGGAGAATTTGGAGGGAGTGTTGCTTTTATATCCTTGATTGTTGTCTGGTTTTTGAAACTGTTCTCAAACTCCATCTGCAAAATAAACACAAAAATGCACATTTACAACCGAACACGTGGTGACACCGTGACATGGATATTTCAATGTCTAATACTGTAATGGAGTGTAAACAAAATTATGCGATCTGTGTCGCTTCAAAATACAATGGCACGGAATTCGAAGGCATGTCTCCATAACAAGATACTGTATTAAAAGCACTGTAAAAGACAATTACCTTTTTGCACAAACAATTCTCACACAAAGGCAATGGGTCGCGGCCAACATCAGAAAGAAAGAACTTTGTCACTTCTGGCACTATATACACAAGGCGTGTACGTAATACGAGTAAAATCACGTGTCTACAACTAAGCCAATCAGAGCCCCAGTACCAGAATCAGGAACTTGATAACTTATGCGCGTTCGCGAGTTAGGCGCTGGGCATGCCCAGCACCTAACCTGCCAACAGGCATACTCTTCACAACTTCACAAACAGGCAGCTGTTTGACTTTCGAAGCATCTCAAAAATGCGCATATAATCTACCGCCATAATCTACGTATATGATCAAGCTTTTCCAAAGTTGTTCAAATTTTTACTTTAAATCAGAAGAATGCGTTTTGTGCATGTATTAAAGAAAAAAGAGATGTGTTTGAACCTGCTTCTTTAAGATAAACAGACACCAACCCCAAACCCAACTTCGTATCCAGGTTCTTTCCACTACGTGCCCCAAACCCTTCTCTAACTTCCCTAACAAATAAATGTCTAATAAATAATTTGAGAGTTAAAAAATTCGCTACAACGTAACTGCCGTGACCGGCCATTGCTATGTTTATACATTCATTGAACATCCAAACGGAAATGTCAATCAGTTAATTAAGCAGGGCCTTCGCTCGAAACGTCGAGTTTCTGCTTGTTTATAATTATTTCAGGTAGTGCACAATAACGATTAAGCAATTACTCATGTCAATTATGAAACTACAAATTTACTGGGTGAGATTTTAATGTACTGAGTCTTATCAAACGCCTTTTGTACAACCGACCCCAGTTATTTAAGCAAGTTCACTGCTTCCACACAAGTAGGCCTATCGAAAATGTCTGTGCCTTTAATATCTGCCGAATGCAGTATTACCAATAGCCTGAGTGAAGATAACCCTAATCTGTTGTGTTTTGTTTCAACCACCAATCTTGTAACCTTGGATTCCAAAGCCTTCAGTATAAACTAATAAATTGAAACGTCGTGAAGGCTCTGGCATAGGCTTTGGTTAAACGGGAGGATTCTTTGATTGAACGGGAGCATTCTTTGATTAAACCGCGCCAATCACAAAACAGAATTAGTGATTTTAATTTTGTTTTGTGATTGGCCCAGTTTAATCAAAGAATCCTACCGTTGAACCAGAGCCTTCGCGACTTTTCAATTTATCATTTACTGAATGCTGTGGAACCCAGAGTACAATCTTGTTGAATGTTTGCAACACTTAAAAGTTGACAACAGTATTTCGACATATGGCACATCGGCGGTAGAAATCCAGGAGCACTTAAATCATGACTTAAATAATATACACCAGTGGTTGTTGCCTAATAGACTTACTTTGAATAAAGAAAAGACCGGATACATGATAATTAGATCTAGACAAAAGCTATCCAAAATAATAAACGAGCCGGAAATTCACGTAGGTGAAACAACAATTAAACGAGTAAGCTATTCTAAAACTCTAGGTGTTCTTATAGACGAACTTCTCACTTAGCAAAGGCAAATCGAAAATATACAAACTAAAATTTCAAAAGGTATCGGCATGTTGCGGAGAATAAAAAAAAATAGTTCCAAAAACAACATTGATAAAAGTTTACAACGCCATTATACTACCACATTTCGACTACTGCAGCCTTGTATGGGACAATTGTAGTGATTACTTAATTGACAAATTACAAAAATTGGAAAACAGAGCAGCACGTGTAATTACTAGTAAAACGTACCAAAAAAGACCATGCGATGTTTCAAAAGAACTGCAATGGCAACCTTTGACAGAACGTCTTAAGCATAAGAAACTATTTTTTATGCACAAGATTAGAAATAACAAATTGCCAATCAGCACAACAAATATGTTTGATATCAAAAGAAACTTACGGTATATAATCTCCGTAGCAACAACCGAGATTTCAGCCTTGATAAACCAAATACGAATTTTATGCAAAAAAGCATAAGCTATGCAGCTTCTTCCGCGGCCTGGTATAAATTGCCTGTACAGGCCGAAATTATACACCATAGCGCGTATGTCTCTTTTTCAGGCCAGCCGTGTGAACGCCTGAGCAGGCATCTTGTTCCCGTTAAAATATTTTAGCACCGAGATGGGGGCGACAGAACTGAACGTTTTCATGCTACAGCTAACGGCCTAAAAGCATTAGCGAAGTCTAAAGTTCATCAATCATCGCGGGCGTGGGTCACCAACGATGTGTGAGTGTATCTAAAAGTCGAGGGTCGAGAGTATAGGTCGAGAGTCGAGAGTAAAAGTCGAGAGTCGAGAGTAAAAGTCGAGAGTCGAGAGTAAAAGTCGAGAGTCGAGAGTAAAAAGTGGAGAGTAAAAAGTCTAGAGTCGAGAGTAAAAAGTCGAGAGTCCATCGAGTCAGAAAAGTCGAGAGTCGATCGAGAGTAAAAAGTCGAGAGTCAGCAAATGTCATCAGAAACAACAAAGTCAGAATATTTTTAACCACGTTTAACACAATCTATATATAGCTTTACATAGCCATTCCGTAACAAGTACCAACGGCTGAAATACAAACTTTCCAATAAATACTGCTACAACAGTCAATAATAATAACGTGAACAAAAAAGATTGGATAAGAAAATAATATCGCATTTGATGCTTCAATCTTGCTAAATGTTTTCACAAGTCATTTCATTCTAACTAACACATAAACTTCGCTGAATTTTGACAGCCATCTCCAGGCTTGTAACTAAAATGTCACTTATTCATATGCTTGCCCAAAGGGGACAAAATTATGAACATGTACATATCATTTCCATTACGCAAATATCATTTCCATATGTCCAAATATCAGTTTCAATCCAAATTCGTCGAAGTTGAGAAAAAAATCGTCAAAGTCGAGTACAAAATCGTCA